GCAAATAAATTAGGGAAATTGAACAAATGCAAGACTTAAATAAATTCATTAGTTTTTAAGCAATATTCCCCATATTGTTTATCGTCAAAAGACTCCACGCCGCTACAAGACATTCTACGTCTAATGAAATACAAGTATGTGAGTAACTTTTAACCAAATAAAAGGGTTTTAATGACCATAATAAAATTGCAGTGCAGCCTCAAAACAAACACTATTAAATCTTGGTAAAAATTGAGATTCGGAGTGTGATGCGTTTGATCTATTTTCTGACGAGGAAGTTATAGATCTCGGTGCATCGGTCCTTAAGCTTTAAAAATAACGACTTCCAGACTTTCAATGTGACGTACATTTCTTATAATACATCATGTATTTTAATATATTCCACTAAAACTTGTCTCTTTTATGGTAATTAGTTCGACTTAAAAAATAATTATCACAAATAAATTGACATAAACCTATTACTTAAAACGTATCGAAATTGTAAATATTTATAACCTTATTTCATTAAATTGATATAATAAACTATGTTCATAATTAAGGGTCGCCTGGAAGAGATCGCTTAATAGCGATAAGGCCGCCCGTTACACACCATGCTTTATAGATATTATTATTATTTTTAGTTCATTGTAATTGTGTAAAAAGTATAAATAAATAAATAAGTTTTGAAGACATTTGAGACTATTTTTAAATTAGTGTCAAGAATCCGACTTTTCCGTAGCGCTTCCGTCATTTCTACATTTTCTCGGAATTCTTAAGGAATTTTAACAAACTCACATTCTCAATTTTTCAACATCGCCTATCCAAGTGAGTATTAATTTGTAAAGTACACGGTGACAATTAAGTGTAAGCGTTCATGACGGCTTCCAAGATGAGGAGTTATTTAGTCAGTTTTTTTGGTTTTCGGATATTTTGAATATGCCAGCGGCAGCAAGTATTATTAACGAGTTGATAAAGCGATATTTCATTATGCAGCAGCAAAGCTAAATTCAAAGCCATCAGAGCAATCCTAGAGCAGAACACGTTTTTCGCGTTCCAAGGGCATCTCAGATCTGACTGGTCAATATATCATTATTGACCTTAAATTTCTCTAATATTTTCATTCCTACGATTATACTACACTACTTGGGACCACTTTCTCACGAATCAAAGTTTATGGCGTCGTTGGTCGAAGACGCGTCTCTACTTAAAAATTTTAAAAGTACCTACCTACCTTTTATCTAACCAAATCTGTAACTTCGAGATATGTATACCCACAATTGAAGAATGCACTAAAAAATGAAATGATTACCTACATGTCGCACAAAAAGTAACAAATTAATTAGGTAAATGCGTTAGGCGGCCTGTGGGTGAGAAGTCACTACAAAGTTACCGACACTGACTACTTCGCGTTACCTACTTTATATTTTGGTGACTGAATTAGTAGATCTCCTTGGCTAAAAAATGAATGCGAGTTAAGCAGCTCTATATATTTTTTACATATAGGTAGGTAATTATTTTACATTCCTACCCTATATTAAATACATGTAGCGTATGTTTTACTTCGTTCAGTATCAGCAACATTATAAGTTTCTGTATACATATAGTTATAAAAACTTAGAGTGTGGAATCAAAAAAAATGTTATATTCCCAGCGATTTGACAAAACAATCGATATTATTCATAAGTCGACTCGAGCAATCCAAGATCCTAATCTTAGTGACCCATTTGGCTAAAACCTTATATCACGTAAAACACTGTTATCTAAAAAGACATCTTTAATTATACATGGCTATCTTGATAAGGCTACTCACATCGTGCACTTGTTATTCATTACGTTTATTTTCTAAAAATAATAATTTTATCGTTTACTTTTTAATTGAAACTAAAATTGGCTCTAAAATCACAACTTAAAGACATATTGCAAGGATGAAGTGAATCGAAATCTGTACTGCCATTATCATAGTAATAGCTTAACGTACCACAAGTTTATTTGTAATACCTATGTTATACAATTTGATTCGAATGTGGGAACGAACAATAAAAATTATATTTAATAAGATATTTGTTATCCTGAAAAACTCACTCTAAATAATATACCTTTTATCTAATTTCAATGTAAAAATTATCTTAAAAACAAATACGAAAGATCGGTTATCGCAAATATTCTCTCTCTTGTACTAAGTAGACCTTACTTACCCAACGTAAAATAGTCGCTTATGAATTGCAGGTAAATAACCCGAATTAAAATTTGTTTTTGTTACTAAGTCCAAAGAGTATTTAGTCAAGGATTATAATAAAAACCGTATAATTTATTCACACGCGTAAAATCACCTCATTCGAGACGGTTACATTCAAAATATGTTGACAGCTTCCGGAAATTGAACCGTGCAAAATTGTGTAATAATACAAACAAATCGTGACATACTGAAATGTGCTCTTGTTTTCATCCGGTTTCCACTGACGCGTCAAATCGGAAAAACTTAAACACAACGCGGAAAACGTCCTCACACTATGGGGGTCGGTGGCTCACTGGCGAATGTGGCGACGCCTCGCGGTCGCGGCGCGCGGCTCGTCCTTTCACGAAAAGGCTCAGGCCCAGTCTATATTACACGCGCAGTTGAGACATTTCTAATTCGATTTTTATGATACGTTGTAAAAATAGATAAATGAAATCGCTGTAGTATAATCACGGTGGTGCGTAAATAGAACTGGTGGGAAATAAAATCAGTACAGATTTCCAGAAAATTAACATTTTCACACTGTAAAAACCTATTTCTAACAAATTTAAAAATAATTTATAATGCACGTGATAATAACAAAAAAGAGCAACAGAGCCAATTAGTAGCAAATAAACACATACGAATCCTGCTACTTTAATATTAACGACTACTGTTGGCGTGCTAAAGACTGTAAGCACAGAAGTCGTGCTGCAGTAAGAACTAGGAGGGCCTAGAATCCTTGTTTTCAATTATTACTTAATTTAATTTAAGATAGACGTTGGATTTAACTGTTTTTGGGTACAAGATGTTACGTTTAAAATAGAGATGCAACGAATATCCGGTTGCTATCCGGTATCCGGCCTATCCGGCCATTATTTTACTATCCGGCCGAATACCGGATAGATGCGCACTATCCGGCCGGATACCGAATAGTGATTTTGTTTAGTATTAATATATTAACTTTGAAAATTTGTTAGTTAGTATACAAGAAAACAACAACAAACTATCAATATTCGTTTACTAGTATTACCTTAAACATACATTTTAAACTTATTAAAAAGCTTAATTTGTTAAGTTTGAATTGAAGCAGTTGAATGGATCAACTAATCGTAGCAAATCGTATGTTAATTTTTAATCAAATAAAATAAATGTTAAGAAATGAACAAAAAGAGGTGAATAAAAACGAGATTCTCTGCATTTTTGGGTAACAATCGATTCCTCCAATTTTTATGAACAAGTCCTGCATGCCCCTCAAAAAAAGTATTTCGCTATAAACACTGCTACACGGTATATTTTTTATTTATAGTTTATGAACAACGATTGCGCCATTATCTGCCCTTCTGAAGGTGATTCGCCTCCAATGTAAATTGGAGACGAATCACCTTCACTACTATGTATTTGAATCCTCTTCGCTACACCCCACTTTTTGAGGCCCTCCAGAAGCAGCTTTTGTTTAGTTCTTCGATCGACCGACTATTCGGCGGCCGGATAACGGATATTCGGCTGGTGAGGAGGCCGAATATTCGGTATCCGGTATCCGGCCAAACAACTATCCGTTGCATCACTAGTTTAAAATGCAAATTAGCTGTTTTGTAAGCCTGCAGTTTGCTGCAGTCTAATAAACATTAATTATTGTAGATTTGATTGATTTTAAGAAAAACATATATTTTTTTATATTATCTAGTAGTTGAAGTTCCAAACAGAAATTACGATGCAACGATTTATATTATAGTTATAGTTTATTGTATCGGAATCGGAACCTGTCAGTGCGGAGGCAAGAGAAGAATATTTTATTTCTTCTAATAAAATAAATAACACAGTAACATATTATATAAGAACCACATTTGAAACAAATTACATAAAATGAAATGACTCTAAGCTGTACTTTAAACTTTACAGAAACGTAGCGGGACCACCGCGCGACATGTCTCAACCTGTCCTTACCACCCGATGTTGTATGCTTTAGTCCGAGCAGAAGCCGAAGGTGTTACAATGATCGGAAGTTTCGACTTATAGCATTCGGAGTCGAAGCCCCGTCCCTCGACATCCCTGGTCCACTCTGGAGTTCTGACTTCCAGCCTTGATTCCCCGCGTACCAGAATAGTTGTCACCGTATTAACTATGCCGGTCACATCACATTACGCAACATGTTTATTGTTTGCGAAGATGGTACGCATCTGTGTTGCCTTAAGCGGAATATCTGATTCCATTTGCATAGCTTTTATCAGCCGATCTAAGGAAATGTTTATTTATTAGCTTGGCAATTGTCGCGAACGAAGAGCGGACGCTTCTTGAAATCGAAGTACGTCGTTGCACACGCACTAAGGATTCAATTGAATACATCTATGAGGCCTTCAGATGATAACTTACACACACATCTATGATGTTTCAAAATGAACTGAGAGACACAGAGGAGATACCTAGTTTTTCCTTTTTAAGGAAAAATATCAGTTACATTATCGTCATTTTATAAATTCGAGTTTATGTCGTACATTTAATTAACTGTTGTTTATAAGCACAAAAATCTTATTTTTCAAGTCACTTAACATCAACAACACAGGATCAGATGATGTACCTTACTTAAAATCTACAAATAATTTTTGATTAAGTTACAGTGATTAGATAACCGAATCCTAATTAAGTCAACGTAATTAGCACAATACCTAATATGATCATCATAATGTGACGAACGTTAAAATGTATAATTTTAATTGCTTAATTATTAATCTGCGTTAATATTAACTTTAAGTAGTAGATAATAACTATGTAATTAATGATAGAGACTAAAGTAATAAATTACGGTCTACAACGTTTCTCCATGCCTTAGATTGATAATTTCAGGATTTTTCGGGTCTCCGTTGCCCCTCACGACATACACTGTGACGTAGTCGTTTTCGCTGCTTTTGCTCTTGTCTGTGTTCCCATTTTGATAGTAATTGTTATTATTGAAGTATTCGATTCGCTTCCGATTGTAGTCAGCGTTAGGAAAAACAAAGCCAGTATCGCGTACGCCTTCTGAAATATATTTTTCAACGATGGGAAATTTGAAAGCCTTTTCTCTGCGATTCTTAACCGTATTAGCTTCGTTCGCTGAAGGATAATTATGTGGAAATATCCATTTTGAAGGGCGATCGTTCTCTTTATAATCGTCACTGTTGTACTCATTCGGTTTATTTTGAATGCGTTTCTGAATTTCTCTGCTATAATGACTATTTTGAAATCTGTGAGGAGAGGGGTCAATTTGTCCGTATCTATGTTGATTATAGGCGTAATAAGGGCTTGTCTGAAAGCCGAAATTATTTTGATTTTGGAAATTATAAAGACCATAGCGTGTGGACTGTGCGGCATGGGTTCCACTCGGTCGTTGGTAAAACCCGTATTGCCCGTTGTCAAGATTCTGTGGACCGATGCCTTGCTGGGCTTCATACCCTTGCAGGTGATTGTAAAACTGTTCCACATTCTGTTGGCCGTTGTGAGGAGAATTAAAGAACCTGAAGAAACCGCCGTTATGGTTATTGAGGTAATGTACTAATTGCTCGGGATCTGTGGGACAGTGCTGGTAAGCGTATCGGCAAGTGCCCGGATTCTCCTTTGAAGACATTCCTAGAAGAACAGCTCTACCAAAGACGAAGAGAGGATTTGAACTGATTCCACTGTATCCTGATAGAAGGCTGAAAAAATATAATAAAATATATATAATATAATGATTCGATCTACTTATGATAAGAGATATTAATGTTATGTCTTGTAACACTGCTTCACAGAGCTAACAGACTTTATTTCGGGTCTGGTCCTGATGATTGATACCTACTCGCCTGTTTACAATATCAGTGTTGAAGAAAAAAGAATTGTCTAATAATTGGCCTCATACCCCACGTTTCGGTTACTTAGAACCTTTATTGTAGATACGTTCATAGACTTGTTATTTGTATGAGTACACATGCCTAGAATTAAGTTCACTCACGTAAGAAGTGGCTGTAGTCCCGCGACAGACTGTAAAAGATTAGACGGGCCCAGGGCTCCGCCCCCGGCTGCCTCGCACAGCAGACGTGGAACACATTGATAATCATCGTAAAGCGCTATCGATGTTAGGGCTTCCGTCACACGAGACAGAGCTTCCGTGGCGAATGATGGACGTTCTAAAACGAAGAGAATTTAATCAAGACCAGTTTTGAAACTCCTTCCAAAATATTAATAGCAATTATACATGAAACCATCTTTGACTTTGCTTTTAAAATAAAATGTAAATAAAAATTATACAGAATATTGTTGAATGAAGAAAATTATTTGAGGAGGAGTACAAAGGGCGCAATTGCGATTTACCATAAAAGAGACCATGGTTGAAGTGTGGGGGTGGATATCCATTGTATCCAAATGTGGATAAACTTCCATCAAATTGTCTCACGTGTTTTTTTCTTGTTGTGAACTGTGCGCTTCTTCCGAGTGTGTTATTTTCCAGCTTAAATATATTCCTTAAAACATGAATTAATAACTGCGTAACGTAATCTCGTAGATTATTTAGCACGAAATTAAAAATACGCACGACAAGAGTTCGGCTGGATCGTATGTTGCCGTCGAATGAGTATCATTTCCATCGACATACAGAGCTGAACTTGTACAGAACAAGAATGCTACCAAATTTCTAAACATCGTGCCGCCTGAAACAGAAATAAATAAGTCTTCGGCTGATAGTTCAGACTACTGAAGACGCACGGAAGTAGTTAGGATTCGAGAGTTCTGGCTCACTCGTCGGGGCCCGTCGCTGGGGCCCCCCCCCCCCCTGGTTGGCTGGTGTCTCAAATCGCGATCGCCGTGGAATCGCTGGGGGACCCCCCCTGGCTGGCTGAGGTTTCAAATCGCGATCGCAGTGGATTCGCCGGGGGACCCCCCCTCAGAAATGTAGCACGACGCCACCTAGCGTCTATTCGGGAAGTATTGATATCAGCGCCATCTATTGACAGTTTTCGAAAAACTATCGACCTTACCGAGCCGTGGGTCAGACTCACTGACATTTCAGGATAATCTAAATAAAATAATTACAGATTGCGTACACATTTATTACTTCATAATATTTTCAAAAACATCGACTTTTACTTGTATATCATTCCATTCCCGATTTCCCGATTATGTTCATCTAATTTGCTGGCCATCCACGTATAAACAAAATGAACTGACTCTTTCCCTGAACTCCTGCTGGTATTGTTAGAACTTTTACTTCTGCTCGGGTTATGGGGTATTTAGCCGTTGTAGTTGACAAGACTTTTTGGTGTGCAAGTGAAACCGTTGGATTTATTCGAGCTCTACGAATAATAAGTGAAGCGTCTGTGTTACATATTTTCAATTTTAGGTCATTAGAAGCAGCCATTAAATGAGATGATGTAGAGAAACGTTTATCTCTACATCTGACTAATTTTATTGACATTTCAACTCCATTTATTAAACTTTTCTTGATTAAACAAGTCGCCGTGTAAATGTCCAATCATTTCCACTTCTTTGCTCTCTGATACAAAGGCCTGTCTCTTAACAAAATCTATGCTTATTCAGAAGTTTAAAAGGAAATAAATAAAACTCTTTGTTAGATCTCTATATATTTATTTATCGTTAACAAATTCATGTCTAAACAATTTAAAAACAATCATTACTTATCTATATTTACAATTCCTTACAACTACTAAATTACAAATACAACTATTTCGCTTCATTACTATTTACAAGGTACACAACAATAATCACTCTTTATTATTATACAATAAAATAAAGAGTACAATACAATTTAATTGTTTATTTTATTCCGTAATGGCCCCATGCTAACGTATCCATCTTGTTAGGTAAAATAAATCTTTTTGTGTCATCATAAGACAAACAAATTTTATTTAGTTTTTGAGTAAAGATGGTATGTTTGATTGATCTAAACCTATGCATAGTGCTATATAGTATTGTATGGTTAAAAAGACATGATTTGTAATTTTCGATGGTCAATTTTTTTGTTACACTTTTATTTACGCCTTTTGCTTTGGTTGTTATTGAGGTATCTGTTTGAATTGCATACATTTTTGATCGCAAACCTACAAATTCTTTCACAATTAATCCTTTGAATTCATCTTTAAAAAATCCTAATTTTTTCTTATTTAATTTGGGAAAATTATAAACGTTATCATCGGGATAATCAGAGGTATCAAAATATGAACTCAGGTCAGGTTTAATATCTTCATAAAAGTCTTGTGTAAAAATTTGGTATATAAAGCTATCCGTATCTGTATACAAAAGCTTACAATTATTTTGAAATGTTTGTAACATATAATTATAATGAAAATCATACATCAGGGTTTTTGATATATCTAAAATACAAAAACCTAAATAAATTGGTTTGTCGTAATTTACTTTAGTTTTATTAAGCTGAACTGCTACTAAATTTTCAGAAAAAATTGATAAACTGTTAAATTCAGGTTTTGATATTAACTGTTGTACACCCAAACTTTTACCTCGATTTTCCCAATGTGTTAACAGTTTTACATTTACTCTTTTGTCTACATTTTCCATAGTTTTTCCAAACACAGAATTATTCATCAATTTATAAAAATCTTTTTCAAATTCCGAAACCGCAACGCTTCTTAAATTAGTGTTTAAATCAATGTATTTTTTCAACCAGGGACTTTGACGAAACTTTAATATCCTATGAATTTTGATTAGTTTAATACCCATTTTTAAACATTGTTTTAAATTTCTGTAATGAATAATGTACTTAGTTTTATTTTTTAAATTAGGAATAAGTTTTTTTTCTTTCGAGTTACCGATATTTACATTTTCGGGGCACATTGGGAAATCTGAATGTTTGTCGTGGAGATCTTGAGAATACTCTAAATCGACTTCTAAAATGTATCCATACTCTGATGTATCAGGAATATTAAAATTTGTATCCAAACTAACCCACTTGAACCCTCCCTCAGGTAAATATTGTGACATAGCCCACCCATAAAGATTATTAGCATCTAAATATATTATATATGACGAAGGAATATTTTTATCAAAATCTTCTAAATATTTATTATTAGATTTAGCATATCTGTTGCTACATTGAGATATGCCACCTCTAATGCCTGCTTTAATAAAAGCGATTTGATCAATATCAGTTAATAATTCCAATTTTACATTTGTTTTTTTTAGCATAGCATCCCAACTTAGCCCCGGAGCCGTGTAGTAATGAGCTGGATCTAAACCATATGTTTTTATACAAAGCCTTCGAAAATTTTCAAATACATCTGTTAATAATAAAACGTCAGTTTTCAAATATAAATTTGAATAATCTAACATATTTTCACAACCAAAATGTTGCCACACATCTAGAGCTCGATTATAATCAGCATCAGAAATATCATTGTTCGTAAGTGAACTTCGAAAATGTTTTTTGTTTGGTAAGAAAGTTAGATCGAAACATTCAAGTGATGTCATATATTCGTATGGAAAGACACCTTTCTGACGAAGTCTATCAAAGTCATTTTGATTTGGAAAATGAAGCCTTAGCTCATGAAATTCATCATCTTTTAAATTTTTCGCCAACTGATCAAGACTACATGGTAAAAATTTAAACGAATCTACAAATCTCAATGTTACTTTATGATTGTTTATTGTAAAGTGTTTTGCGAACGAAATATACTTTTCTTTATTTTGAGGAATCAAATCTATATCACCTTCGAAAGAATTCAATCCATGTACAATAAAATGAGCATCATAACAACTTAAATTGTGTATAAATACCGGAATATACCAAGGTGCACGGAACTTTCTTTCACAATTATTATGAGCAATGCCTATAAAGTCACCGGTTTGCCAATCGTAGACAACAACTTTATCGTCATGTAACATAGATTCACAAACGTAACAAATTTTTGTTTCAGTAATAATATTGTATTGGTCAGACAATGGTTTTGCACATTTTTGAAAATTTATTTTTCTGCAAATTAACTTTAAATCGTCATATAAAAAGTTTATAAATTGTTGAGCGCAATTTTCTCCACTGTATGTTTTATACTTAGATAAACTATTGTCATATGAGCACTTAATATAATAGCCAAAACTATAGGGTTCGTGCATTTGAACATTATTTGTAAATGGTTTTGATGGGTCGTTATCACATGCTTTTACCGGTTTTAAGAAAGCTTCAAAATCAGCGTATACGACAAAGGGAATTTTTAGTTTTTTATGAAACTTATCAAACTGGAGTATATTACTAGCTACTGGTTGTTGAAAACAATTCTTCAGAGTTTTTGTACTGCTTGGTAAATAAGTTGTTACGTGGAAGCAGTCATTTTGTTGGTGATTTTTTAATCTTTCATGAGTTGTGAAGGATATCAAACAACCATCACATATGTACACGGCTCCATTTCTATTAGTTAGTTGATTACTTACGAGACGCGATAGGTTCTTAATGTAACAATAGTGACCATTTGAAGAATTTTGTATGTATAGCAAATTTATGTGAACATTTTGTCTTTGTTTGGTAAAATAAAGTGGGCCAATAACGGAATGTTTCTTACAGCTGACATCAAACTCTAAACCAAAAACGTTAATACTTATATTATTCAATTTTTCTACTTTACTTATCTCTTTTAACTGAACTGGGAATGGGACATTATTAAATTTAAGTTTACTTTCATGTTTATTATAGGAAGAGGGTCTTTCCGAATTTTTACTAACTGGATACAAAGCCGAAAGTAATGCCCATTTAAAACATAAGTTATCATAATTTTTAACATTAATAACAGCTTTTTTATCCTTAATGTCTTTGGGCAAATCAATATAAGAACTACCGCGTAACGGAGTATATTTATTTATGTTTAACTCTATGTGATTTATTTTGACCAAACTCCAACCGCTATCTTTTTTCTCAAATGCGCTTAATTTATTCCCGAACACATTACATAAAGTTGGTATTAGATAATTTAATTTGTCCGATTTAGTTAAAATAAAATTTTCTGTCTGAAAGTCAAACGAATTTTTTAAATTTTTAGATTGTTGTTCAAAATCTGCGTATAAAACGAAATTGATCTTTACTGACGTATATTGATCTATTGCACTATTGAGTAAATGAATTATCTCTTTTTGAATTTTTTCTAAAAATATTTCCGGCGTTTGAAATTGTAAATCTAACTCACGTTTTGCTTGGATTTTATATGACACAATTCTATTTTTAAATGCTGTTTGTATAATGGATACATTTTCAAAAGAGCCATGAGTCATTAAACAATTGTTTCTATGATTTTTGCTTTTAAGGTGATTACTATAATATCGCTTAGTAACTACAATATTACATATATTACATAGTACCTTCTCTAAGTTTCCATGCAAAGTTGATGATTGCTCTGCTGCTGCGCTACCACGGGATGTCGTTGGTTCTTCAAGCCGTACTCGCTTTGCACTCACGTTGTTGATTTCACCACTGTTTATTCTTTTTAATACACCACTTCCTACTTGATCACAAATGCGAGACAACTCTTCGTCATATTGGGGATCAAATTTCTGATCTTGTTCAAAGGTTTCAGAAACTTGTAACAAAGCCAAGTCTTCAAAAACGTCTTCTAATTCAGAAATATCAACTTCCTCAGAGAAAACAAACCCTGAATGCTGGTTAATTGCCATTTTTATTGTATACGGAGCTATGTCGCGTGTAATAGATTATGTGCTAATAGTTGTATCCTTCAATTTAGCAGTTGTTGTTGAAAACTGTTTTTTTACAAGAATCCAACGATGATATTTCCTTACTTATGTTATATATAACTTGTTTTACCTTATTTAAATGAGAGCTTGTATCTTTGGCATAATATTTAGTCCTTATTTTAGCATGTTTCCATTGCTGATTTTTAGGTATCTTTGATATTGCTTTCAAGTCATACAATTCGATTTTAAGTAAGTAAGTGGCTGTTAATATATCATTTTGATTCGTTGTTATAAATGCAACACATCCATTAGGTTGAGCCCGAGAAACCGATGAACACTCTGTTGGCTTTTTCTTACTTGGGCTCGAAAAATTGAAAATTTCATCAAAATTTTCATCTTGGGTAGATTTTCTTTTCACGGCTTTCCTGTCGATTACTAATTCGTTACTAGTTTCTTCATCAGATAGTACCATGGGGTAATAATATTGCTTGAAAGTGTTTTCTTCGAGATTATTAGGCTGGAAAAAACTTTAAAATTAGTTTCAAATATTAGCAAAACAATTAAAGAACTTTATTAAATTTTTAAGGAATACGAGTGAAACTTACCTCCATTTCCTCTTCTCCAAAATTATTTAAAACAAAAACCTTATTCACACACGAAATATTTAAACTATTTTCTAAAGAGCTCCTGCCTTCTTATATATCCCAAAGAATAAAGGATGCCTCGTTAGTTTATCAAACAAATAACATTAATGACAAGTAAGTGTAATTACTTATTTATTTGCTTTTCTTTTTGGGACAATTACCAAAACCCAATGTGCCCCGAAAATGTAAATATCGGTAACTCGAAAGAAAAAAAACTTATTCCTAATTTAAAAAATAAAACTAAGTACATTATTCATTACAGAAATTTAAAACAATGTTTAAAAATGGGTATTAAACTAATCAAAATTCATAGGATATTAAAGTTTCGTCAAAGTCCCTGGTTGAAAAAATACATTGATTTAAACACTAATTTAAGAAGCGTTGCGGTTTCGGAATTTGAAAAAGATTTTTATAAATTGATGAATAATTCTGTGTTTGGAAAAACTATGGAAAATGTAGACAAAAGAGTAAATGTAAAACTGTTAACACATTGGGAAAATCGAGGTAAAAGTTTGGGTGTACAACAGTTAATATCAAAACCTGAATTTAACAGTTTATCAATTTTTTCTGAAAATTTAGTAGCAGTTCAGCTTAATAAAACTAAAGTAAATTACGACAAACCAATTTATTTAGGTTTTTGTATTTTAGATATATCAAAAACCCTGATGTATGATTTTCATTATAATTATATGTTACAAACATTTCAAAATAATTGTAAGCTTTTGTATACAGATACGGATAGCTTTATATACCAAATTTTTACACAAGACTTTTATGAAGATATTAAACCTGACCTGAGTTCATATTTTGATACCTCTGATTATCCCGATGATAACGTTTATAATTTTCCCAAATTAAATAAGAAAAAATTAGGATTTTTTAAAGATGAATTCAAAGGATTAATTGTGAAAGAATTTGTAGGTTTGCGATCAAAAATGTATGCAATTCAAACAGATACCTCAATAACAACCAAAGCAAAAGGCGTAAATAAAAGTGTAACAAAAAAATTGACCATCGAAAATTACAAATCATGTCTTTTTAACCATACAATACTATATAGCACTATGCATAGGTTTAGATCAATCAAACATACCATCTTTACTCAAAAACTAAATAAAATTTGTTTGTCTTATGATGACACAAAAAGATTTATTTTACCTAACAAGATGGATACGTTAGCATGGGGCCATTACGGAATAAAATAAACAATTAAATTGTATTGTACTCTTTATTTTATTGTATAATAATAAAGAGTGATTATTGTTGTGTACCTTGTAAATAGTAATGAAGCGAAATAGTTGTATTTGTAATTTAGTAGTTGTAAGGAATTGTAAATATAGATAAGTAATGATTGTTTTTAAATTGTTTAGACATGAATTTGTTAACGATAAATAAATATATAGAGATCTAACAAAGAGTTTTATTTATTTCCTTTTAAACTTCTGAATAAGCATAGATTTTGTTAAGAGACAGGCCTTTGTATCAGAGAGCAAAGAAGTGGAAATGATTGGACATTTACACGGCGACTTGTTTAATCAAGAAAAGTTTAATAAATGGAGTTGAAATGTCAATAAAATTAGTCAGATGTAGAGATAAACGTTTCTCTACATCATCTCATTTAATGGCTGCTTCTAATGACCTAAAATTGAAAATATGTAACACAGACGCTTCACTTATTATTCGTAGAGCTCGAATAAATCCAACGGTTTCACTTGCACACCAAAAAGTCTTGTCAACTACAACGGCTAAATACCCCATAACCCGAGCAGAAGTAAAAGTTCTAACAATACCAGCAGGAGTTCAGGGAAAGAGTCAGTTCATTTTGTTTATACGTGGATGGCCAGCAAATTAGATGAACATAATCGGGAAATCGGGAATGGAATGATATACAAGTAAAAGTCGATGTTTTTGAAAATATTATGAAGTAATAAATGTGTACGCAATCTGTAATTATTTTATTTAGATTATCCTGAAATGTCAGTGAGTCTGACCCACGGCTCGGTAAGGTCGATAGTTTTTCGAAAACTGTCAATAGATGGCGCTGATATCAATACTTCCCGAATAGACGCTAGGTGGCGTCGTGCTACATTTCTGAGGGGGGGGTCCCCCGGCGAATCCACTGTGATCGCGATTTGAAACCTCAGCCAGCCAGGGGGGGGTCCCCCAGCGATTCCACGGCGATCGCGATTTGAGACACCAGCCAACCAGGGGGGGGGGCCCCCAGCGACGGGCCCCGACGAGTGAGCCAGAACTCTCGAATCCTAACTACTCACGGAAGAGCTTCGTATTAATAACATCGACCTAACCAAGCGACTACTTGGTTAGGTCGATGCAATATGTCGTTAGTAAAAGGAACTCTGCCACAAATTAATAAAAGTTAGGCGATTATTGCCTACAAACATTCGTCGATCACACGGTGTTCGTGCTGACTTTGTCATTGCTACAGTAATTAAAAGTCACGCATATACTTACAATTGCTTTTTCAGGGTCCCCCTGAAAGACTAGAACCTACGTTATCACTTTTCACGCTTCTCATATACCTACTCCTAGACCCTTGCACGTATATTATCACAAATGTGGAAACATAAAATATGCAAAAAAGAAAATTACTAAAGAAATTTGAAATTGAATAAAATATTTTTTCTTCTTGGGCGAAGAGTAAGTATTCTCCTCACTGACAGAAGAGTTAAGTAAACTTACTGGATGGTGTCTGCACGCAAACGACACTTGGACACTAATAAACTCGGATGTGAAACTAGGTGATATCATCAAAATTTCTACAGCCCTACAAGGTATCCTGACGTGTTATTACCTAAAGCCAGTGAAAGCTTTGATTGCACAAGTTCTAAGCCTACTTCAGCACATATCTTAAATATTTATACTAAAATATATGACAATTACATTTTTGCTTATCCCACTTGACTAAATCGGGTACCTCTTCTGATTAGTCGATTTAGAACTAATCTAACCTTATAAATACCGCTTTGTGTTATCTGTCATAAGTGTATAAACGCTAAAATGGTAAAATAATATATTTTTATAAACTGTGTTGGTAACATCATGCTAGGAAACGTCAAAGCATCCGAAACGTCGGGCCGAAGTTAAAAATCATTTTCAAATAAGTTTAACTAATATATCGCGTTTTAAACCGTTAAAGTGTTTTATTTAAATCATGCTAGGATTCAAAGTAGAAGCGGAACATTGACCTTGAAACCAGTAACTTTCGTCCGTTACCGGTTTTTATAACTGTTACCTATATTGTGTTGGGTAACTTAGATGTTATGACAGATACTTCGACGCCAAAAAGTTGCCGCGCCTTCAGCTTCAGCCCGAGTGTCCGCTCGATCGGCCGAAGGAATTGCAATATTACGTTTATCGTTAATATATAGTATTAAGTGTGAAATTAACTATTTCTTTGTTCCACGACCGAGGTCGTGATATCTTTTCCTCCACATACATACGAAAGATTGCCGCCGTCGAGACAAGGTTGTTTAAAACACTTGTCATCTTCACGACCGTTACAATTCACAGGGTCGTATTATTCATTTAGTATTCTTTTTTTAATAATTAATCTGATAGCACAAAAGACATTTCAAAGGTATTTTAAGACTCGCTACTAAGGATGTAATCCATTCTTACTTATATATTGCATAAAGAAAAAGTCAAAAACGTTAAAATGAAACATTTTTTTTACTTCAACTAATCAATGAGATATTCTCATTGATTAGTTGAAGTATAACGCGGAATGTATTTTGACGATTTATCGTCAAAATACATTCCGCGTTACAACTCTTGTATTAACTTTAGTTAATACAAGAGTTTCAGAGTTCAGCATAATCACGACAGAAGCTAAGTTAACGCACTTGGCAATCTTATCTCTCGATGGCCAAATACATCGTTATAATATGTCGAACGTCGACCGTATAACCTGAAATAAATCTCAGTTGTATTCATTTTGTCACTATTAACAGGTCGTGAGGTCGTTCACTTATTTCCTTCTTAGGCGTACCTTATACGTGCTTTTGGGAAAATTTTTCGTGTTCAACTCAGCGATACAAATAAATGAATACTTCATTTGTTTTTATTCGCAAGAGCTCCTTTTCGCGTCTTAGCAATTTTTGTATATAATATGTAAACAAATTAAAATTATAAAACACAACAAGAAATAGAACTCACGACTGAAAACTACCGCAGCTATGAATTAAGCCGTCAAACAGTTTTTGCGCGATCCTCGAGCACACGGCATTTATGTATTATACCGAATCCTCATTTATGCAGCTGCAATCTTAATTTAGTAGAATTCGTATCATTTCCTCTCAAGAGTTCAGTGTTTACAAAGACGCCTTGCGAGACGCAAGTTTCAAACGTATTGCTTGTGCCATTTGCTTGTTTATTTATTACGCTGGGCACGTGTGATACGCATTTACCTGCGATAGGTAAATAGGATTGCCTTGCTTCGGGTGAGTGTATCTTATCTCTATAGTCCCTTTGATTGCTCGTTTAATCTCTACATTGACGGCTGTCTTGCGTTTGAACACGACTTTTCTTAAATTATACTTTTGTTTAATAGTAAATACGAAAACATTATTTATAATGTTACACTAACTGTGCTGGCGACTTCGTCCGCGTAGATCAGTTATTTTGGGCGTCAAAATTTAATTTTGCCAATATCTTCTTAATAATATATCTTTTACCCATGACTGAATACATCTGAATAGATCGAGGTATGCTATTTTCCTCGTTTGTTACAAGTTTCCCGCGCCTATTGGTCGCAGCTTTATGTTTTATAGCCCAAAGCCTTATATTAGCCTATAATTTATCATTTCGAACTTCAGCGACTTTGTCCTCGTAGAAAAGTTGATTTGGCCATCCAAATTTGTTTTTGCGAACCTCTACATCTTTATAAATTCAAGCTGCCCACGACATCGGTCGCGTCCCGTCGTTCTTGAACTTAATGTTTAAAAGATAGACATATAGCGTTTCGGACATTTATTCAGATTATTTATAGAGGAATCATTCCCCTGTACATATTTTTTGGGTGTGTTGAACCGTTTTCGCAGCATCAGAAACCCACAGAGATGAAAAATTTCCCCCGTTTTATTTACATTTCCCGCTGCATCTTCGCTCCTATGAGTCACAGCGCGCTGTTTAATAGCCTATACCCTTCCTCGATAAATGTTCTAACAAAAAATAATAATTCAATTCGAACCTGCAATTCATGGGATTAGCGCGTTCAAACAAACAAACTCTTCAGGTTTATATATTAGTATAGATATAGATAATTACAATAATGGACTCTTCTAAAGTCACGACGTCTAGGCGAATTCGTGATGCTATGTTTAATAATATCACTCCAAACATAATAAAAACTAGTTATACTTCCTGCTCTGAAAAAAAAAAGACATTAAGGATACCTAGAACTATCGATAGTACCATCCGTTATAACTGCGAAATGTTTCTTTGCCCTTCTTTTACGCCTTAACTAAGCAACCGATTAGCGGTTCACTTTATTTTTGGGACATACACCGTGAAACGTTTTGCATTACATACACAATACAAGACCACCGAAGCGTGATTTTTGTTCTAAAGATTAGCCTCTCTGGACTTTTTTTTATCGATATTTAGCATAAGAACGCTACCGCTAATAAAAAAGGTGGGAAGACTTAAGTATAATGCGCAAGTTCATGAAACTGTCTTATAAAACAAAATTATGTTATATTTTTTATTTTTCGTATATTTCTTAAAAGCTGAAGCAGGCTTAAAATAATTTTTAAATTTTTCATTAAGATGTATCCTAAAAATTAACGACCGTTTTATGCTTTAAATGAAATAAAAGCGATTACGATATTTAATTTTATAATTTTAAAGCAAGGGACAATCTGGTTTTATATTATATACTTTGACATTGAACCAAGAATATGTATTGTATATTTGTGTCGGACGAAAAGCATTTATCCGACGCATTGTCACAATGAAATCAATCTTTTTTCCTTGACAGAGATCGTTTAAGTAAGTAGGACTCGAACGCAGCGTTATTATAATTAAATGCTTCTAAAGATAGTGTGTAGATTATAAGAAGATAATAACATGTAAGTTTATCATTGGGTACATATATATCTTTATTATTAAAGGAAATAAGTGAGTTTTAACGTCACATGCCGAATAAAACAAAAACTAAGATCGTGGTATCGAACTGAGTCATTACTAATTGAACTAAAAACCAATACATTAGCCACATTACGATAACTAATTCGTTTTATCTCGTGAAAATGTACCCGTTTTGAAGATGCAGAAAAGCAATTGACTGCGAGTCCACGACGAAATGCGTTTCGTAAGTCGATAATTTCGGCAGATTGAGGCCATCACAATCGGGTGAAGGCGATGGCTCACACACGAGCTCGATGAACATTAGCTCGAGGGGATTAGTTAAGGTGATGCCTAAAGGAATATTTTAATCGTTTGTGACTTACGAACGTTAATAAATTCGTAGTCTTTCCCGAAATCGACGTTAGCAAAAATATGTCACTAAAGATTTTAGATGAACTCGGCTTCGGTCAATCAGAATTATACAACGCGGCATGCAGTATATAATATGTAAGAGCTAGCCAAAATTTTGCGTTAACATTACGTAATGCCACAGGTCGAAAGCGGAAATAATTAAAGACTCAGTCTTTTAGCGCTCCGGTCAACATTTCCAGTCCGTTCACTTTCGTCTTTATTAGGATACGGGTACCCGACGAACGAACGCGAAGTTCGACCTATAGCTAACTAAAACTGGTCCCTAAATGCAAACACACAAAACGCCGGTTTCATGTTGTTTCTTCTCAACTCGACCTAACGAGTCTCTATCGGAGCGATAGAGGAGAGCGTCCATCCTTAATAAACAACCCACATCTATGTTTGCAGATATACAAAATGAAAATAGCACAACAGAGCAGGACCGCTGCGAAAGAAGACGGAATAGCGAATCTCATCGGCCAGTTCGGAAGGTGGCAGTTTCTCGTGTTCGCGACGGTGTCCTTAGTGAAGCTATCCTCGGGATGGGTGCAAATGGCCATTTTATTTCTGACTCCCAAACTGACATTTAGATGTGCGGAGTTCGGCGACGCGTCTCACCAGATCGTCGAGAACTCCACGTGCTACAGCGACTGTTCGAAATACGTGTACGACGCGACGCCCTTCGAGAGCACCATCGTGACGGAATGGGATCTAGTTTGCGAGAGGGGCTGGTTGGCCAGTTTCACGCAAATGGTGCTGCAGTTGGGAATTTTAATCGGGAGTGTTCTGTTCGGATTCCTTTCAGACAGGTTTGTTATTATTTCTTGTCATATTATGCTCAGCAAAGTACGTGGAGCGCCGCGGCCGACGCACATACTGCCTATCTTAAATGATGGTGATCGTAAGGGCCTTAAAAAATGTCACCTAGGGAGTGTAGGTGGGGACCTTCTTACATTTAAATTAGAAAGTAGTTCATTGCTATCGAGTTCTCGATACGCTGGATTCGCAAAGTGAATTGGCGCGTATGCTAATAGTAAACATTAAGATATACGACACAATAACGGGTTAAAATTTATGCAGCTTAAAGTAGGTCCTTCGATACATAAAATAACATCACGAATATGCCCTTCGCAGATACGGCAGAAAGATCACCTTCCTGACGTCCATTACTGCTCTCATCCTGCTCGGATTCGGCATCCCTTTTTCGCCCAACTACGCGGTCTTCACGACGATAAGGTTCTTCTGGGGCGTCGCGACGTCGGGGACTATGGTCGTCTCGTTCGTGATCGTCATGGAGACGATCGGCACGGATTACAGGGAGATGCTGGGATGCCTGTTCCAGATACCCTTCATAATCGGTCACATGACGATACCGCTTTTCGCTTATTACTTTAGGACCTGGAATTCCTACAGCTTAGCGATGGCCGTCCCTCCTTTGATTTATATCATGTATTTCTTCTCTTTGACGGAGTCGCCGAGGTGGTTGCTCAGTGTAGGGAGAGTCGATGAAGCCGCGAGTATCGTGAAGAAGGCGGCGGAATTGTAAGTACTTCTACTAGCTTCCGACCGCATACAGTAATACATCAAACCGACTTTGCTAATCAAAGCGTACATGGTTCAGACGAGCAAGGCAATGTTGGTCAATATAATCTCAAAGATTTCACTAGAATAACATACTGGCACCTTAGACCTAGTAATGTATATAGGATTATAATATTTCAGCAACGGCCTGCCAACGAATAAAATTGAAGAGACGTTGAAGGGAATATCAGAAGACATTCGATCGAAGTCTTCCAAAACTCTGGCCACTTACGGTGACCTTTTCAGGACCTCGCTTTGGGTAAAGACAGTTTGTTGCAGCGCCATGTGGACTATCGTGGGGCTGACCTTCTACGGATTCAATCAATACATCAGTCAAACCAGTCCGGATCCCTTCGTAACCGTAGCGGCCGCTGGGGCGATACAGGTACGGGTAGAGCTCGTGATTAAATTAAAAGAAAAGTATTTCTATTATATTATTTATAAAAACACGTCACGTCAGACACGTCTCAGTGATTTATTATCGATATTTTTGTAGTTACTATATTATTATTTTCTTCGTTTCAGATTCCGTCTAACATAATATCGATTTGGTTAATCAAACACTTCGGAAGGAAGCTCACAATCATGTTTGCCTTCATTTTCGGCGGAATCTGCGTCTTGCTGCTCGGGGTGGTTCCGCACACGTACGCGACGACCTTGGCCCTCGGCACCTTAGGAGTCAGTTCCACGGCTATCGTCGCGGCGTCCATCTACATCTACACGTCGGAGCTGTTCCCCACCATCGTGCGGAACATGTCTCTGGGAGCCTGCTCCATGTGTATGAGAGTGGGGTCCATGGTGGCTCCCTTCGTTTCCAACCTCGCGACGACGGCGCCGTGGTTGCCGACGGCGATATTCGGTTGCGCAGCTATCGGAGCCAGTACTATGTGCCTCTTTTTACCGGAAACCAAGGGCACTACGTTACCAGATAACTTAGATGAAAATATAGAGTCGTAGCGCAGCCCGTGTGTGACGAAAGTTGCACGCCAGTCATTACGTTTAACTACTTACGTTTAATATATATTATACATATAAAACTGAGGACTTACTTTTAAAGATAGTAATAAAAAAAAATTGAAAACGAACACTTTGTTTATCGGACTGTAACACCCATACACATTCACAACATTGTTATATTACTTACTTTAAACGTAACTTGAAAAATATAATTTACACAAGCGCCCTAAAATATGCCGCATTTTTAGAGCCGTTCGGCCCCGTATTAGATAATTACGTTTTTTATTTTCACTTAACCATCATGTTCAGTAAATAATTGTTGAGCAAAGAAATGATCTATCGACTAGTTATTGTTAAATAGAAGCTGTTAATAATATAATTAATACAATTAATGCCATGAAACCTAAACGCGTGTGAATAAATCTGTGTAATAAATCTATCTGTGATAAATAATATCTTCGAGATAAGTCTTAAATATGCATTACTGCTCATATAAATTATTTACACAACTTATAAATACGAAATCATGAATAGCAAAAAAAGGAACCGTTCACATGGAATGTTGTTTTACACTTTGAATGCTGTGATTGTCAGATTCAGTTTTACGACATCGCACAATTTTTGGAGCAGATAAATACAGAGTGAAAAGTACGTACAGCATCTAAGTGTTAAGAATTATAAGTATTAGCTTATAACATTAAATTGACGTCGTGAAAATTATGAAGCGAAATTGGCAAGTGAAGTTCGAACTGACGCCTAACCGGTCCTACTTAAGATCCATTTCTTCTCCTAAGAGATCTTCACACTCCTTTTCCCACTTATCGTCGTTTGTCTTTTCGGCTACCACCTCGTACTCCTTCAATTCCGCTTCCAATTCCTTCTCCCATTGCTCTGAAATCGCGTGAAACCATTATTTTATCACACTTGGCCGTCGAACATCACGATATATTCAATTTCGAAACACCTCCGAGAGCTACTTTGTCTTCTTCGTAAAGGTTACCTAACGTGGATGGTTAATGTGAAAAAGTTCAAGGAAATGACAAGACCGATTATTTTAGAATAATATAATTATTTCAATTCATAATAACTAACTATAAATGCCGGTATTACTATAATATTATAATTTCACTAAACATTTTCAAGTATCGACAATAGAAAGTGAACATCTATACTGTCGCTAAGGACGAAATGAAATCGCCGTAACCAAAATACTGACAGAGGTCGACGGGCGAACGGAATCCTGACGGAGAGAGATAGGGTTTTAGCGACAGAAAAGAAGAGTCTACTAGGCCTGTCCGATATCACGTGTCTCCCCTCCCGTTTTAATCCACCGACTAACTCTACGCAACAGTATAAACATTGAAACACGCTGTTGTCAGCTGGAAAAGTCCTAACAAAACGGCAGTTCGTGAAAGGTTTAATTGACTGTGACATAAGTGATATGTCGCGGCTGCGGCTTTCGAATTATCTATTTCGACTTATTTTGAAACATGTGAAAACGACACTAGCGGTCCGGTCGCCCGGCGGCGAGGACCGCGGGTGCGAATCGAAAACTGCAGTTCGTTGGGAAAATTCTCATTAGGAAGTTTATAGAATACAAATCTGACAACACGTAATACTTAAGAGTTTCAACATTGCCACCGAGTGAAAGGAAAAACCAACTTTGAGAAAGAGCGAAGCGTAGAAATGCAAAAACGAATCGAGCGAAAAAGCAGAATGTAGGGTAGCAATGTTCAAACCGCAGGAGGTTACAGTTACCGCTAAGAAGTGACGTGACTAATCGTATATAGACTTATACACATATATAACATAGTATAGATTCAGTTTACATAAGTTCCATCGAGAGTTTGAAACAGACGCTGCGACTGACAGGTTTCACCTCAATAGAGACAAATAAATACTACTCCAAAGGTGACGCGACTACTCGCTCCGAGATGAAAGCTATTCAAAAGTGAAACATCGAGTGACGGCGGTTACACGATACGCGTTATATACATTCATATGTAGGACAAGAAGCTATATTGTCATATATTTATCCGTTAACATCGATCACTTAACACACTTTACGATATAACAACGAGGACGAGGATATGATAGAAGTGATATAAACTTTGCATTCGTAAATGAACAATGATTTGAGAACAGTCGTAAATTCTCTACAATATAAGTAACTTTAGAAACGACGTGAGATCAACGATTACCTTTTCGATGCGACGAAGCTGAAGCGAGGGACGGGAGAGTCCCGACCCCTTGCGCCGATGTCGATCGTCACGGAATCCGAGCAGGCTTCTCTCGGCTTCGTCGCATCGAACGAAAACAAGAATGTTCGAATAGCAGAAACGGCTCAACTTAGGCATCGATCCGGAAAGCTTCGCACACCATTCGCGACAAAGCGCTACTCGGTCGAAAGCCACAGATAAGACAGAGCTACCCGATGTACGTGAACGCCTAAATAATATTGTGATGCACGATCTCCGGCCCCGCGCGACTGCAGATGGAGCTACCGGTGGTACTTTAACAGTGCTTACGAATGCTTCGATGTCCGTGCGGCTCACTTAAGCTGCATTCCGAGAACGAAAAGATATTTATTACAATTGGTCAATAAAAGCATGCAATCTATCACCTAATGCGCATTTCTCAAAGTTGGTTTTGTGAATGAATAATGCGTTATTTTTTAATCTAAATTGTAATGCTCATTAAAATGAAACAAAACACGCGAAGACAAAATAACTCAGGGAAACTAACGTAGGAATAAATAATGGTTAGGCACAGAAATAATAAAGGAATAATCTCTCATTAGGGTTAGCTTTGCCAAATAAACGAGAATCTTACCGTCGTCGTTATCTCTATCGACTTTCAAAGACTTAATTCTTTTCTTGACATCGTCGATCGAACCCCGGGAGGACGTCTCTTTAGCTGCGAGACTTTCGCCCGCCGATTTACAATCTATGCGATAGGCGGAAACAAAACGAGGGAAATGAGGATGGAAACGAACAAAAATAAATAAAGGTGTTTTCTGAATCTAGCGCAAATCATAAACAAATCGTGAACGGAACGAGAAGTTCAAACCGAACGCTGGTACGCACCCTGCGAGTCGTCGGCGCTCGACTGGCGCCCGACGGCGTCGGCTTCGTTGGCCTGGCAGATGAGGGACACGCGGTAGAAATAGTTCCGCCAGAAATTCTCTTCTGTGATCCTGAAAAGTTGTTCGACATTTAAGACACTGTATTTGTCCCCTCTTAGTGTTTTATCGTAGCGGTACTTACACCTTGGGCACCAAATCGAACCGCATCTTCTCGAGGTTAGGGTCTTCCGACATGATGGCAACGGCCACCGGGTACATCTTGTCATAATCGAAATCGAACTCCACGCCCGCCGGAGGAGCGCGCACGAAGTTCCGTCGGTCCTGGGGAAGATGTTAGCACGAATAAATATTGTGCATCGGTAGAGTGAGACAGTCGTAAATTGTTATCTCTATCGCACACTGGACGATATGTATCTCTACTCACAGTAGACAACGACAAGCACTCCTCTTTGAGCGACGTTTCGTTAGGAGCTCCCACCCACGGCGCGACGGCCGCTCCTCCGCCCTTCTCCTGGCCTTTTATGAAGGCGTCCTGCTCGCGGTTGAACTCGCCGAGAATACTCTGAAATGAAGATGATCTACGTTTAATAGCGGTATCAAATAAAGATCCTTTTATTGGTTTACTTAATACAATAACAAATAAAAAATTAACATGATTTTTAAGGAAATTAGAAACGGCGACAGATATACGAGACTTTTACAGGAGTGATAAAGATATAGTCTTCTCGGTCTTATTTATTTATCACCCACGCCCGCTGAGTCCTTAATCTGTGGTATCTCTTTTGAAAATAAAATATCTCGGCGAGAGAAATATTTTAATAGAATTGGTAGAAATGACGACAAATTATAGACATGTAATAATATCATCTACCGTTGGACACGGCAATTGAATTCACAATCCCCCACAGCTGTCTAGTTCCGTCGACAAATCCCTTCGCGTGCCGAGCGAAATAGGTACATCGCTACCGGCCGTTCCGAGTTCTGTCGCGCCCATTACTTCCGTCTCCCGAAGCGCCGAGACATAATCGCACGTTCTTTTATATCAGTGAGTTTAAACGAGTTTTTTTACTCCGGTTAATATCACGTTAACTCCAGCATTATACCTCATTAAACTGATCCGTCGTAATGAAATAAAAGTTATGTTAAATCTATAGATGTTCTGTGCATTGAGTAAAATTCGTACAACTTATTAGTTTGAGACTGAACATACTCGTAATATTCAATACCATCGCGACGCTCGTGACCTACACGTACGCACCACCCTCGAAAGACATAATCTGACTTCTTAACGAAATTCCGCCGAAAGAAATTAACAAAGTGCCAGTCCTTTTTAATGCACTAAAAGAATCTTAATTAAGCGCTTTTTCCAGGCATAATTTAAGTTTTAAGATTTCTCGATAAAAGAAGTGATGGAGTTGAATTGTGAGAATTTAGCATGATCAAGAAGGGTTTCCGTAACATTTCCCCGAACTATATCTGAACTACTACGTTTGCGAAAACCATGGATCGATAAGGCTACATAGAACTTGAGTTAGAGTCTACATAGAACCACATCTACGACGTGTGGCACCGAGAGTTGCAACGAACCTCTCCAGTCGCTAGTCAGCCGACACATGCACCGGACGGAGGAGGCTCGTTAAGACGCGTCAGCGGCCCTCCAACATTTACGAGCGCCACTGCACTCTTCTTTTCAGAGTCCATTTATGTTTTACTGTCGTGGCAGACTCGGCGAGGCATTAAACACTTTTATTATGGTTGTGTGTCGACAAAGCGTTGGCGTTTCTTATGTAGGGGCACAATCGTGTGATTTATCATTGCCTCCAGATTTAAGATCGATTTTAAAAACAGGTCCTGCTCTGCTCACGAAAATCTTAATAAGATACGGCCTACTTCTTTCACGTGGTGGTTTTTTTTTTCAATATTAGTTCTAAAATTTGAATTTGAAGGCCGTTGACTTTCTGGCCTGTCTAAATGGTCGCGTGTATCGACTTATTTATAGAAAAGGGAACACGAGAACAAAAAGAAGAGATTCTATTTCACATTAGACGCGGTGTCTCACACAATATTTTCGAACCTTATTTTACCGTAGACTAAATATAGCGGAAACCTGCAATATATCGTACATTTCCCATCTCGTCCATGACGAAGGCCTAATAGATTAGAAGATATTGCAGCAAATTTGTTCTAAAGATAATATATAATAGGTATATTTCTCTATAGCTTTGAAATGAATTGAATAAGCTTTTAAGTAAAAACATCTAAAGGCACAAAATGGTATTAAATATTAATCTATAATCGGCAATACCGCAGAACGCAGATTATAAACAAAGGACCCTATGTCAGTTGTTTCGGGTCGTTTACACCCTCCACTATACATTCGTGCGTGCGAGGCTTTCAGGCGCCGTCTACTTACGTAACGCCGAGTATTGATCGCAGCGAGGCGCCGCGCGCATCTCCGCAGCGGCCAATCAGAAGCGTCGCTTTAATTTTAATTCGATAACCGATTCGATCGCGGCCCACGGATCGGTCAGCCCGCCACGACTTAGCGCGGTGTTACATCGGTGTGCGTTCTATTCACAATAACGTGTGTCGATGATTTTTCTCTCTAAGCCATTCCTGTTAAATTAATGAACGAGCGATGGAGTAGTGTTAGTGGAAACGAGCTTTAAGCTTAATATCGGAGACGAGTGTGCCCAGCAGCGCACAAATAGGTTCAAAGGGCAAACGAGAAATATTAATAAAGGTCAATTCGATATTTTCTGTAGTAAGAAAGTACTAAGTAACTAACTTCTTAACTACTAAATATACAATCACTCTACCTAGATGCAGACGTTTATAGTTAGTGGCCTACAAAACGTAACATCTCGAGCAGAAATAAGGAACACATCGTCTTTCTTTTTGACCGACCAAAAATCCTTGCTAAACAAAGACGATTTTCCAAGAACGCGAAGCAATTAAAATTATGAAACACCAAAATTTCAATAGAGAGGACGACCTCGCGTCATCTAACACTAACGAACCAAAGTAAATTAAAGACACTACATTTCATAAAAGGCAATTCTCACACAAATTAATGTAACTTTTAATTGAGGTAACCCCTTCCGTTCCAGTCCTCCCATGACCAGGGCTGCTGCAAAGCATCGGAAATGTCGGGCCGTAATTAAAATTAATAGTTGATAAGTTAACTAATTTATTTCGATTAAGATATTTTAAAATGACATTTCATCAGACCTTAGCGAAAAGAAGTCCCCGGAGAATCGCACGCAGGACTAAAGGCCCTCGAGCCACACTTAATAGACAGCAATCAATTGGCAATATGGCTTATTTTACGGGCTGAGTGCGGTCGCTAAGTCGCAATGCCCGTTGACCTCGCCTCGAACGAGCTCGACTCGTATGACTGAAAACGGGGTTAAGTAGCTTCGGTTGTTCTAACGTGTTCATTATATCTTTATCACTCATGTAAGTACCTCGCTACTTTTGGGCGAGCTCGGCAAACTTCATAATTTTATTAATAAACCTAAAATAATCTCGGATGTTTTCAGCAGTAGAAAAGAATCTGTCTGTTGATCCTCAGCGATAAATTGAAAGCGACTAGATACGCGCCATATCATCATTCAAAATGTCAGAATCATTCAAAATGTCAATTGTCATCTTGCAGGAAGTTGTTAGTCGCTTTTCATTAAAAGAACCTCGGAACTCTAATGATCCGCGCGAACGGAACATCGCAGTGCAACTGATTGCAAATAAATTTATGACAATTATAGATAGCTTACTATTTGGTGACAACTAGGTGATTAATGATGTAAATATCAGAAAAAATGATTTCACGTAAATTAATTTAAGAACTAGTGGTTTATCGACTTGTTCGCATTAGCCTCCGCGTTTGGTGGAAAATCAAATCGTAAACTAATGGACCGCAAAGGTTGGAAATAAAACGTTTTACATTAAAACGCCGAGAGGTCAGCGCCTAAGGAAAATTAGGTCAGTGCGATTCCAATATGCGAGTCGGAAACACCACACAATATTAATTGAAAAGTGTCTTTCTTCTTTTCATCGTGCACTGCAGGTGACGGGTCTCGTCTTTAATGAATCGCGACAGACTGACCGCCGCGGGTCTAGGCCTAACATTTGTCACTCTTAAGGAACATACACTTTCTTGTAACATCGGCTTCTTTATTTCTTTAAAGCATAAAAAGGGCGCAGGTTTCTTAGGAATCCGAAGTGAAAATGAAATGAAAGGTGCTTCTTTGAGTAACCAATGAGCGGTAGGTAAATGAATTTATATTAAAAGAGACTCAATTAAACTGTCAGTCTAGTTTTATTGAACTGCGCACCTTCTGAGGTAGGTTTCAGGTAATACGATGGCGAAGTATAGGTATATAACTTCTGAGCAAAGGTGAGGCAGCACTCACTCAGTATGAAGATTAAATCAGAGGGAATGGGCATTACATCGAAGTAGTGTGGAGGATTTGATTTCGCATTTCCCCATAATGTTGTAGTGCCACTCAGACAACGACAGACCTTTATTTTTACAATCTATTATTAATTGTAAAAATCTAATTAAGTGAAAAAAATCATCCGGTCGTTCTTACATATCAGTTATCACATAATGAAAGCATACTCACATTTTCTTCGACAGTCTTCTTTATTTTGGCACTGGCCTCGCTGACTTTAGCGCCGGCTTTGTTGACAGCGGAATAGAGGAAGTTGCCCAGAGACTTAGCGCCGGCCACTGCCTTCGTGGTTACTGTCGAGAAAATTGGGACCTAATTAAATGTCAGTAACGACTAAGAGGCCGCGGTCGGAGTCTCACTTTACAGAACCCGGCAAAAAATAGATGGTACTAGAGACTTGTCTTTTTCATAATTTTACTTCGTGTTACTAAATAAAGATCGGTGCAATTATATTATATTAGTCGTTTACTTCTTTAAAATAAATATAACGATATGAAGGAAAAAGTACTATTAAGTTATTCAAAAAGAGATTCAGATGGAGAGCAGTGTTTAAAAGGAAAGGTTTCACATCGGCATTGCCAGGTCGGGTCGAATGAAAAACTTCGACTAAATTATATAACAAAGAAATTGTGCCGGTGCCTCTTGAATAAAATAAAAGACTCGTACCGTGCACTTGGCAAACTATCGCTTGGCCGGCGCCGGCCTATGATTCAAAATTGGCACTCTCTACGGTCACTATTCGATTACGATCTACGAAATTCTCCAAATATTCGACTGTCGTGGCGTAATCCATAAAACATCGAATCAAAATTAGCTTAGCGTAACGCCCATCACGACGAGTCGTTCGATGCACGAGAATACTAACAAATATTGATTTAGTTTAAATGCATATACTATATACTACGACTGGGCATGTTAGTGCATCTAACGACTCCCAAATAGACACGAAGAAGGTGTAGGAAGAGTAGGAGTATACTAACGTTCTTGCATATCGGGCACCTCTATGGCGTCAACTGTGAAAATCTTTCTACTGTGCTGACCTGCAACTGTGCATAAAACAAACAATACTACATATAGCATCTACTTAAATAAAAATCTTTGAGAAACGACAAATAAAAGACACGAAAATCTACTTTTTACTTAGTGAAATAAAACATAGAAAAAAAAACAGAGACATGATCACATACTAAAAAAAGCTCCTAAGGTCATAAACACTAGCAACTCTACAATTCCGCGGTTCGCTATTTCTATAGGAATTGCAGACGAAGTGTTCGTCTCACCGTTACCGACTCCGGCGGGTTGTTCTTCGGTGGGGGTCCCGCCGGTCGACGCAGGTCTGCTGTCGGCTCCGCCAGTAGCACTGTAGGGAGAAATTTAAATTGTGTCAGCAATACTTTAGTATTCATATATTTCAATAGAATTGAAACCGGAAGCAGTCAGTACAGCGTGATAAGCACAACAAATCTAAACAAGTGAGCTTCTGACCTTTAATGATTTAACAAGGTAGAATTAGACAATATTTCTCAGAATAGAAGGGTGTAGGATATGGGTTCAAGATAAAGCTGTTTCCATCACAACTTTTTTATCGGGTATCATATTGAATGAAAAGAAATCAGTGTTTCTGTCTTGCCGTTAGATCTGCGATATTGTCATCAACGCCACAGATCGGTATCGTATTTAAAGGGAAAATTTACAACAAAAGGTTGGCATGGCTTAGCTTTTAGACGCGTAATAAATGTATACTGACTACTTTAACAATTGGTCAAAATCGATGAATTTTAATAAAATTTGATTCACTAAAACCAAATGAAAAATGGAAGCTTTATGTATTTCACTCATTTATTTGTTCAATATGGAATAAGAAAACTTTCTGTATTTTGTCTAAGAATGCTCATCGCATAAAACGTGTACAAGTGTTATATAATATTCTACCATAGTTTGTACTTTTCATTGTTCTCTTTCTCTAACTACAGGAAAATAAGTCAATAACAATGGAGACAAATGGGGTTTAAGCAGAAAAAATGAGTTTACAAGTAGCATAAAATATAGAATTTGATAGTTTCGAATTAAAAACAACTTTTTAAATACATTATTCCAATCAATTATCAATTATTTAATACTAATTGAAATTTTGCATGCATCCAGATAGTGATGTGATTTTCATTAATAAAATTTACAGATTTGTAGCAAACAATAGTTGTATGATTTCTAATCTATGTGCGCTGTTATGGAAAGCTTTGTGAATGAATATAATTTTAGAAAGTTCTTTGACATGCTCTTTGCTTTGGCAGCATCATACCACTCTTCACTTTAATTTTCTGCATTTTATTTCAAGCATTCGAAAATAACAGAAGTCCCGTTGAAGTGTAGGAAAATATGTTTTTGCAGCTTCCTTATGCTCGAAGTAAAATTGATAATTTGAGTTTATTCATCTCATTTAAGAAATACTAATACTATAAGATAACACACCAATAAGCTTCATTAACAGCGAAACTCATTCCATCTGCAACCCCTCATACCTAATGTACCTAGAATTGTCATCATCTTCCTTTCCCTCCGGCTTGGGTTCAGCTATCTCTGCTACTTCTTCCGGTGCCGCCTCTGGGATGTCTGAAGTTGCAGCTTCATTTTTCTTTAATCCAGGAATTGGTATTCCCGATCCAAGCCAGCCTGTCATCTGAGACTTTACGTTGGTGATAAGATCCAGTTTACTTCCACCTTTAGTTGGACTGCAAAAAGACTGCCATAAGTCAAGGGCATAATTGAATAAGAAGATTTGTTAATTGATTTACAATTTTATTCCAATCTCCTATCGGAATCTAAAGATAAATCAATATGCACCTGCAGGAGATAGAATTGAAGATAAACTGGAGTCGAATGCATTGACCTCCTTGAACGGATCAATAGGAGTATTATGCAACGACGAAAATATCGTACGTAGAATTTTAATTACTGGAAGCGATTTCTGTAAAATTTTATTGTACTGCGCATAAAGCCCCTTTTCATATTATAGCCGTGCATTAGATTGTCATCGTCATAATAAATCGTGAAAATTTAATTAAATGTATTCGGGGGTTTCGTAAATGTTGAGAAAAATAAGCAAAAAGGCATACGTAAAGTAAACAAGAGCTATACCTTTGTTTGTCTCCCTCTGCGGCCACCTCCCCGGTGGCTTCTTTCGTGGGCGTAGGAACTTCCTCATCTTGGGGGTCGCCTTTTGCCGCTCCCATCCACGAACTGACCTGATTTGTGAGTCCTGAAAACATTTTCACAGCCACTAGCTAGCTACGCGACACGAGCACTCGATTTACGCCGCGGAAGATTCGCTCATGACACACGCGTCGCCCGTGGAGCGTCTAATGAAAGCGTGATCAGCTGAAAAACTAAATGGAGCACCGCAATCGACCAGCACTCTGATGCGAGGTGGCTTTCATTGCGCATGAAAATTTGCGCACCCTCGCCCTCGCCTTTCGCCTTTTGTGATTTTGTTTTTTTTTTATTATGTCAGAGTGCGAGAACAACGACCAATGTCTGTGACAGACAAACCGCAGTTGTCACTGTCAATATTAACAGCTTTACCGCTTAAAATCATTACAAAATGCAAACGTCACTTTGAGTTTTTCTCAATTAATGGATTCGTAGATTTTTTGTTTTTCTCGTTAAAAATTAAAATATCCTTGTTGTTTTCAGAAAACTAATAAATGTGAGTTACAAGGTCCCAGTGACTTCTGCTTTTCTTATTTAAATAAAAATCAACTCGCGTTAGTGAGTTTTAAACTATGACGGAGCGTCGGATACAACTCCATTTGGGTAAATGTATAGAAGATTTGGATAAATTGTACAATGTACCCGATTTAAAATCCAAAAGAGCCACTTTGTAAGTTACTTTAATAGGTATTTTCGACTTTATTTCACACCTCGTAACGATTCTATATCGTTTTATTAATGCAGGTTATGCAAGACAGCTCAAAAATTGTTTGAAAATGCGGAAGACGCACGAGCGAAGGGCGACGAAGAGTATTCCTATGTATGTTATATGAAGTACCTTCAAGTTATTGCTTTTATAAGCAAAGGTAAAGAGTACATGAAGGACAAAAACTACTTTAACAATATGCTCGGTCCAAAGAATGCAAAAAAAGCTATAGATGCAGCTGAAAAGTTAAAAATTAGCTTGATTGAGCGGTATGTGGTGAAATACTGACAAAACTTTTATATTTAAATTTAGATGTATAAGTTTAAGTAAAATTTATTACAATAAAAGGCAACAATTAATTTTAGATATGCTAAGGAGCAGAAAGTTAAACATTTGATGGATATACAAGAAAATGAATTGATTAAACAAAAAATTGATGAAAATCGCAAGAAAGCTATGGACACTTTAAATTTGGAACAACCAATATTAGGATTACCTGGTATGTCAACAGGAAGAGATAGACGCTAAGAATGTTGGCTTTATTTTCAATTTTGCCTTTGGATATTTCAGGTCCCGATGAGGTGACTATCAAAAGTGATCAGTTGTACTCAATACTTAAGAATGGAAAACTTAAAGTAATGATATTGGACGCCAGACCAGGTAAAGACTATATCGACTCCCATATCAACAACCCCGCATGCATCAGTGTGCCAGAAGAATGTATTTCTCCAGGGTAAGTTGGAAAAAGGTTATTTAGCTAATCATTGTGTTGCTAAATAAGGTGAAGCAAGACGTGTTATCTTGAATTGTGTTTGAAAGAATGGCTGACAGATAAAAACTCTTAAAATACTTTTTTATTAAAAAACTACAGGAATATAGATATTATAAACCTTCATGTCAAATGAATTCTCAATAGGTTTGTAATGCATCAATTATTTTAGCCAATCTGCAAATGTCCTTGAACAGAATCTACCTGCAGCATCTCAACCTGTTTGGGCACAGCGAGCAAGCTCAGAGTTAATAGTAATGTTGGATTGGAATAGCACCACTGTCATACCGGGCAAACCTTTACATCTTCTGAAGACTATACTCCTAAAGGTAGCTAGGTAGTAGATAGGTCTACTCTAAGTTATCAAAGCAATTTTTCAGTTACTTTATTTTAGGAAAAATTCACTTTACGGAATACCATTTCTGTTTTAGTGGGATATAAAAGTTCATTATTCAAGACAGCCAGTGGCCCTATGGGGTGGTTATGAGGATTGGCTGCTCAAGTATCCTACTTTTACCACTAACCCACATGCAGTGCCGCCATCTCAGGACATTATGCTTGACGATATGCTTAGTAAGTTTCCATGTATTTAGTAAACATTATTCCGTACCAAGAAACTGGCTATTCAAGTGTTTGTGGACATTTCCCATGGGAGTCTGTTTGAAATAAGTTTAAATCATTCAATATTACATACATTAGCAAGACAATATATTTCTGAAAATGTTTGGATGTCAGAAAATAATATTATTATTAAAACATACGGCAGTTTTCATTACACCATAAGGATAAAATAAGTGTAGCAACTACATAAATCCATAAGAGTAGTAATTATTCTTTTCAAGCATGTATTGCATAAAATCTTTCAATAAAAACCTCAGTAATGAGCAGTGTCTGTTAGTAAATAGATTCAAATCATATGTAATTCAAGAACCACTTGGAAAGGTTTATTACGACGTTAATCCATATTTAAATGATAAAAATAGTTGGGGATGTAAGAAACCTGCTCTAACAAGAATAAAAGATGTAATAAACTTAGTCTGAAGACTGTAAAATAGAACTCTAGCGGAGTTCAAAATAATAAGAGTGGCGGTGAGCTTCTAGCCAGTTCTTCTCGTTCGTTCGACCCCCTTGGTTTTAAAACTGCTAGTAAATGTTTTTAATTGGTTTGACATTCATAAATATCCCTAGTTGCACACGTGAAAAAAACGATATTTGTCTTACACCAAAGGAAAAATATGTCTAAGTCTTTGACGTAAACAAATTGAGGTAAAAAAAAATTGAGGTCGTGGTTAAATATACTTTAAATACTTAGATGGATCTTTACTTAACAGGTGAAATAGATTACCCGAATTGGTCAGATTTAAACCCAACGCCAGCTGTGAGTCGTCCTAAGCCTAACGAGCCCGTGGTAGATCGCGCCAGTAAGGTACGGTACATAAAGATGTGATTCAAACCCTTCTTAAAACAAGGGGAACAGTTGACGAAAGCCAGGAATATCAAAAACGTATTTTTACCATCAATTTTTTCATTCAATATTTTTGTTAACGACAGAATGATGACTGATTAAAAAATTTTGTTTCATGTTTGTAATATTTATGTTTATCAAATAAATATATAATAATGCTCCTACATTATACACATCTTGAATTTCAGTCGGCGGCCGTCGAATTATACGCTGAGAGGGCGCGGAATATGCAGCAAATTCTAGAGCAGCAGGAGCTTATTGCTGACACCTCGCTCACCTTGGAGATGCAGCGTATAGAAGCCGAACAGGTATTCCGTGCTCCGAAAAATAACTACGGAACGAGAGAATCGCAATTGTTTCTATGCTTTCGAAGTAAAAAATAATTGTTAGGTAGTAAAATACACTAAGCTAGCGTTGATGCATAACGGTATTTGGTAGGACTGGGAGAAGATCCGTCAGCAGCGAGAAGTGGAGCACCGTGACGAGCTGCGTTCGATGTACCAGTTGCGCGAACACGAGATTATCTCGCAGCTTATGCAGCTCGAGAACAAGCAGTTCGACATGGTGAGTCTGCGGTTGATTTCAAGCCGAAACTGTTTAACTTTCAAATAAGAGTGTGCATAGTAAATCCAACGGTTGTTGCGGCTTGTGATAATGAGTATTGGTCGTTATTGTAACATCAGTTTTGATCTCAGGAACAAGAGAACCAGTCCCTTCGCGAGAAGCTGGAGGAATATCAAAGGAGGGAGAGAGAGGAGGCGGCGAAGTTGGCGGAGAGCATAGCCAAGTCGCAACTAGCGCCATCTGTGGACACGGAGGGTACTTAGACATTACAGTTCCCTGCGTAGATCGGATAGGAGACGATCCGATACGTGACCCGTCGACGTTCAACAAATGACAGTGGTCCCTTTCGGGGCTTTGGTTCATTTTACATTAATTGTAGATAGATCATCTCTATTAATTAAAATTTTTACTTATGAGATACATATATGTATCCAGTATAAGGTATCCAGATGTTTAACAAAATTGTCATCTATCTACTCTATCTCTCTATCATTCCAAAATGTGAAACCCTCTTTCCAGCGATAGCGGCGGCTCGCGAGCGCGAAGCGGCCGCTCGAGAGGTGGAGGTGAAGCGAGCCCGCATCGCGGCCGTCACGGCTCAGAGAGACTCCCTGGACCGACAGCGCGAGGCGCTCGAGAACGAGAGGAAGCGGAAGTTAGCCGAGGCGAGGGAGAAACAAAAGCCTCCCTATAGAGTACGAGTAAGACGGAACCTCCGACGTGCGTAGACCCACAGCCATAAGATGCTCAACCGACCTTTATGCCCGCAGGAAGAAGACACAGAATCGTTCGGCTCGCAGACGGAGAGCGCAAACGCGGGGCTTAACCGCTCGCAGTCCTCGCCAAATATTGCAAAGGTAATAGAAAATGTCGACGAGATACACGTTGCTGATGAGTATTCTTTCGTCAGACTACTGGTATCATATTAATTGCACCTAAAAAAATCTCGAACGCAGCTGTCGTCGGACGAAGAGGAGCCTGTAGCGCCGAGCTTCGATCGCAACACGAAGCCGACTAAAGTGGCGCCATCTAGTGAACTGCGCCAGAGGGACTTCCAACCTGTGTGGGCTGATGTGGTAAAGTGCTAACGAGATCTTCGGTTGCTATTTGCGACTCGAATGTGCTTTGGGCGTTATTGCGTACATATTTTATATATGTGGAAAAAGCCAGATATCCATATTTTATACCCTTACGTACTAAAAACAATTGTTTTACGCTTAATAAAACGGATTCGTAAATAAGATATAGCAACAACTTGCTATAGAGCTGAAACGTTATGTGATTCTCACGTGCAATCGAAGTCCGAAACGACGTCACTCACGTTTGAATAGACTTTTGCCCTGAAGCCTCATCGAGCCTCGCGCCCCCGTTTCCACCGTCCGACCGAATTGTCGCTTATATTGAATACTATGTCTTCTTTCCCTACGCTTTTTACAATTACACTCGACTTTTAACTTATTCCGTGGCGCATTTGTAGAAAGCGTCATCTATTGTTATCGCGCAGGATTCGAACCGAAGTCCTGGGAAATGAAGAAAAGAGCTATATACCGGAAAACGGCGCATAATTATTAGATTACGACTGAGCGTCACGTTTGAAGGGCGCACGCTCCGTTGCCTATTGCCAAATTTGTTTTACTTTTACGTTTTCACCATAAACCCTACATATAGTATACTCTTAATTCAAAAGCCTCGTGAGTACTGTAATACGAACGAGACACACGTGCGTCTAATGCGATAGCGGGCTGTGAACGCAATACATTTATTGGATCCGTGCGGTTTTCGGCTGTCTCCTCGTTTCGCTCCAAAAGATTTTCTGATGATTAATGAGTACCGAGCGAAACCTGCCCAAAGTCGAAACAAAGTATGGACGCCCTCGTATCGCGTCGGCGAGGGCCGCTCGAACGCCCACTTGAACACGAACCGTCCACTGAAGTCGTGCGTGCCTTCGTGGCCCCACACGATACGCTATGCGGCGAATCGCCTAAGCGCATAGATGACGCTATACCTAGATTCAGATAAGAAATTGGCGCCCTTGACCTTTGGCCATCCGCGAAGGTCTTAAGTGCCTATTAATAGCTATCTACCGGAAGACGTCACCACAGTAACTAATAACTTACAGTAGCGCAAAGAATAAGCCATCGACGGTTGTCGCTTTGCATTGTAATAATATGTGACGTATTCGTTACTAGATTATTTAAATGATTACTGAACCGAAAACCAGATTTTAGTCCTCTCAGCCCATTTCCCCCATTAGTAAAGTTCGTCTCACTAAATTCGTTACAAGCTTCTGTGGCGGGAATTACTTTAATGTAGCGAAACGAGCTGGCGCGCCAGCTCCCACTTGTGCCGTACCTTTTAAGCAAGGTTTTTTACTTTTTTTGCTCAGGGGACGATCGAGTACTGTTATTTCATCCTAAGTATTAAGTTTGTTTAGAGATAGTTAACCTACGCAAGAATATCCTTTCAAGTTATTTGTAAGGCTAAGGCTGGTGCGTAATTTAGATATTAGTAATGAAACCAGAGCCCTTCGTAATTATGAAGAATGCATCTTCCAAACGACTTAAAATTTAAAGCAATTTAATTATGTAAAGTGCAAAGTATAGCATAGTGCGAGAGTATTCGTAAACTCGGCCCTCAGTGCTGCCGCGGCCGCTCTCGACACCGCGTCTCGCCACTTAAATGTTCGCCAGTGCGATCGCTACGATTTTCATGTTGTACCTAATAGTTCTGCTGGTCCTCGTTTTCCCTCTTTCGAAGTATAGAACATGTGAGTACCCTGCGAAGTAAATAAATGTGTACTCCGCTTCGTTTACATTTCATTGTAATATTCAATGTACATTGTTTTGAACTACGCTCGAACAGATTGATTAAAGTGATTTTGGTGAAGCAGCCATGAATGCGCCCGGAGACAGTTAGCATGGTGTTCAAAGTGAAAGTCCGACTCAAGGTCACCCACGGCATAATATGGCTTTTCAAACGTGTGAGTGTCTTTTCTTAGCGATCCAATTTAAGAATTGTTCAATGCCATACAAAGATATATGACCATTTTCGTATCGGTGATGTTCGGGGGTACGTGTGAGCACCGACCGACGTAATAGGCGCAAATCAGTTTACACTGAGAAAGGTTAAGGTCACACCGTAATACGCATAATCTCACTCGAGTCGAACCTAGTGTTGCGCGGTGTCTATCGCCTATGTAAAATATGTACACAAAATGAAACAAAGTACAAATTCGCTTATATTTTTAATTTCGTACTCAAAGCATTGAACAAAAAACACTCGTAGGGTCGGGGGCTGACGGGCCTCAAGAACCTGGGCAACACGTGCTACATGAACTCCATCATACAGTGCCTCAACAACACGGCGATCCTCGTGACGTACTTCTGCAACGGGCAGTACCTCGAGCATGTCAATAGGTAAATCTACTTTCGTCTCCATTTATGTTTCGACTGATATTAGCGCCCTCGCTCTACACCGATTGCGATCCGCAGATCTCACAGCACCCGCGGGGCGATAGCGGAGGAGTTGGCCGCCGTAGTGCGAGCCCTTTGGTCCGGACAATACAGATTTATCGCTACCAAGGACCTGAGGGTGAGTGTGTATCTGAACTGAATCGACACGCAAAGAAGAGATATTTTGATGAAAAACCGCGTGTTTTAGAACGAGGTCGGCAAACACCAGCGCACGTTCCGCGGTAGCGAGCAGCAAGATTCGCACGAGTTTCTGACTATTCTGATGGATTGGTTGCATCTCGATCTCCAGTTCCCCATCAAACCACCGTTGAAGGTAAAATCTCTTCCACCTGGGAACTGTCATCGGCGCGATCAGCGCCTTATAATATAAACTGTTACAAACATCTGAACGTACATACATTTCTGAGCTGCGTTCGTTTCGCATTCAAAAACAAAATAAAATAGGTTCTTACCTTACTTACATTTAAATATAATGCGAAATTCACGCGACGTTCGCTTAATTAATTCACCTATCTCTCGCAGGAAAACTTGGGAGCATCGGAACAGGCGTGGCACGAATACACCAAGGCGAAGGAAAGTCTCGTGCTGCGCCTGTTCTACGGCCAGATAAAGTCGACGGTGCGCTGCTGCGTGTGCAGCACGCACAGCGACACGTACGACTCCTTCTCCAACCTGTCGCTGGAGCTGCCTCCCCACGCGGCCCGCTGCTCGCTCAGCGTGAGTACGAGAACCGCCCTCGTCGCTCCGACGACCGACGGACGCCTGACCCGCTCGTTCTTGTCTTTCAGGACTGCCTGAAGCTCTACTTGAACGGCGAAACCATACGCGGCTGGAATTGCCCCAAGTGCAAAGAGAAACGCGACGCCGTCAAGAAGCTAGACATCTCGCGGCTGCCGCCCGTCCTCGTCGTGCACTTCAAGCGCTTCTACTTGGACCCCAAGGAGTACTGCAACGCGTACCGGAAGAGGCAGACCTACATAGACTTTCCCTTGGAGAACTTGGACATGCGCCAGTTTTCGTTGCACTGCCCCGGCGACCCCGTCTACAATTTGTACGCCGTGTCCAACCACTACGGCTCGATGGAGGGCGGGCACTACACGGCGTACTGCAAGAGCAGCGTGTACGGCAAGTGAGTCGCTCGCACGTCGTTAGTTACGCTGAGATAACTTACACGTTTCGATTCGTATGACTAAGAGAACGATACTTTCAGATGGTACAAATACGACGACCACCTCGTGACGGAGATATCGCCGAGCGAAGTCAAGTCCAGTGCCGCCTACATCCTGTTCTACACTTCGTGCGAACGATAGTCGACTAAGTAGCGAAATCCTATTTATAGTTAACTCCGGCGTCAATGTTTTCAGTTTCAGGAGACTCCGCTTTATAAGTTAGCTCTTTTCACTTAAGTTATTTTATCAGTACGAACATATAGTGTTCTATATGAATATCTACGCTGATTTAGAGATTCTTACCGAAACAATAGGAAAAGATATAATTTTGCCTTGCGGATAAACTAGTTTTATTTCGTTTAGTTCGATGTCGTTAAAGTTTCGTCACGATTTGAAATAGTCTTCCTCAATTAGCCTTTTGGCTTTCGAAATTAAATATTTAGTTATCGATGTGATATCGCTCCACATAATGTAATACTTTTTCATCGTTTCCTGTAAATATTGCTGTATAAAAGCTTACTAAAAATCACCCGGATGCGTAGAAATATTTATTGTTTCTGCAAAGACTGATCGATAATATTTGAAGAATCGCTCGAACCCTTCGACAACACGAAGAATGTGATATATTTTTTATAAGAAATGAGAGAACAGTAATGCGACGTATTAACCGGCATAACGCGTGAACCGTACAAAAGGATGGATGGGAAACCGTCAAACTGACTAAACGAAGGATATTCTGTGTCACTAGACCTAACCCGTGGTACTTACGTTGTTGTAGATGTATATCATTTAATGTTCATCTGTTACCTAGGCGACGGGCGGAAACCTTCTCGTTCATCGTCTCTTAGAATTAATTTGAGAAGGTTTGGCGAGTGGCCCCTCGTTCAATTTTAACCCAACAAAGAAACTATATGTACATCGATGTAAGCCTCATCGAGATTCTCTTCAGACCCAAACGTCCGTCGGTGCCGTTTACAGCCGAGCTCTGAAGCCTTTTCGTTAGGTGCATTCAGCTGTACATAGCATTCATCGCGATACTTAAGTTTTAATGTGTATGTATATTTAAGACAAAGTTTATTAAACTCTTTGTTAATATAATTATGTTGTCTTATTCGATACGATTTGTACACGTCGAATTATATCGAATCTTGTGTTGGTCTTTACTTGTTCTCAGAACCTCGATTGAGTGTGGACAGGAAGTGTATAATGGAGAGACAAATTGAAATAGTACTTTTTGTCGCATCTCACATCTTTTTCTTGTTATTGTGTCATTACCTAAGTGCAGCATAAATATGCTATTGTGCTTATATAAAGTACAGTTGTTTTTCATTTTAGACCATAAAGACTCACTGCACCTACGATTTCAGTAGAGAAAAAAAATTAAAGAGGGAATGAGAAAATATTATATTGGTACAAAAATACAAGTCATTGCAAACAATTACCACAGTTACACTTAACGATTTAAAACGAACTTTCAACTATTTTATAACTCGGAACAAATAGAATTTCATTATTTTACTTTTCTCCGATTAAAGCTACAAAAGAATATAAACAATTTAAATTGTTTAAGGATGGACACTCATTTGAATAAAACATTTTCGTTTTATAAACGATCCTTGAACTATTGTATTACTCCTTACATTCCTTGTTTGAAAATGTTGCCAGTTGCAGGATATTCCAAAGCGATGTCCATCATGACTATCGATTCGAAGCCGTGTGGAACATGGAAGAAGTCTACTTAAAGAAACAAGTTTTCTAATGAAATCATCAGTAGTTAGGATTCGAGAGTTCTGGCTCACTCGTCGGGGCCCGTCGCTGGGGGACCCCCCCTGGCTGGCTGGGGTCTCAAATCGCGATCGCTGTGGATTCGCTGGGGACCCCCCCTCTGAAATGTAGCACGGCGCCGCCTAGCGTCTAGCGTCTATTTGGGAAGTATTGATATCAGCGCCATCTATTGACAGTTTTCGAAAAACTATCTACCTTACCGAGCTGTGGCTCACAACTCAGGAACCCCAACTGACACGGTTATCTCCTTTTTAAAGATTTATAAACCGCATATTGCAAGGAAACAATATCGCGTTTCAGGATAATCTAAATAAAATAATTAAAGATTGTGTACACATTTATTACTTCATAATATTTTCAAAAACACCGACTTTTACTTGTATATCATTCCATTCCCGATTATGTTCATCAAAAAACATTATATAATCGTCAAGACTCTTTCCATGAACTTTAAAAAATATATAAAACAAACAGTACTCCCCACATACTGATGACCAATCGTCTTGCAAAACTCTTTTATTGTAGTTCCACATAGTACAGTTACGGTTCAGGAACAATCTGTGTGAACCTGAAGGTGCTCGGCCGAAAGAGTCAAAGTATTCACCGTGTCTGCTTTTATCTACGTGTATTGCTACCCAATGGGAACCTGGCTGTGTATCTGGGTCCAGATTGCTTATTAAATAAATAGGTAATTCCATATGAATGGGTAATCTGTTCGCGGCAAAAACATTGTTATGTAATACTGGATTTATTTTTGATAAGCAGTCCTGAAGCTGTAAGGTATTCATTTTTAAATTCCGTAGCTCTACAGTTCCGGATTGATCATAAAGTAATGGTGTGATTACGGAAATGCTATCCATTTATATAACATAAATGTAATAATAATAACACAGTTTGCAAACATCAATACTTTATTAAAAGTCTTATTATACTTAATCTAATACATTTGAGTCTTAACTGCTATAGTCTACGATTACATTACGATTTTTATCAATTTCAATTACATTATCAAACTCAGCATATACAATACAATTTATAGTTTCCGAAAGCGAGGATTCAAAACGAACTTCCAATCTCACACTACCATTTCTTATGAGGTTCCAGTGACTGGCGGAACTAGCTGATAAATCAGCAGTTAAATCAAAAGCCAGAAGACAGTAACCTTTAGAATATTGATCTCTAGATATACCATTCCCTTCGTTAAGAAAATGAATACCCGTTCCTGAGAACAGAGTATGATAAGCCGTCGTAAAAATGTTGTTCTCGAACGACGGCTGTAACGCCTTCGAAGGTATTTGCTGGCCATCCACGTATAAACAAAATGAACTGAGGTCGTAGTTTTCAAAATTAAATGGGTTCTTTGTGAGACAGCCGTTAAAAGCTGTGTTATTTACAAAACCAACTATACATCGTTTTGGTAATTGTCCCAAAAAGAAAAGCAAATAAATAAGTAATTACACTTACTTGTCATTAATGTTATTTGTTTGATAAACTAACGAGACATCTTTTATTCCTTGGGATATATAAGAAGGCAGGAGCTCTTTAGAAAACAGTTGAAATATTTCGTGTGTGAATAAGGTTTCTGTTTTAAATAATTTTGGATAGGAAGAAATGGAGGTAAGTTTCACTCGTATTCCTTAAAAAGTTAATAAAGTTCTTTAATTGTTTTGCTAATATTTGAAACTAATTTTAAAGTTTTTTCTAGCCTTCTAATCTCGAAGAAAACACTTTCAAGCAATATTATTACCCCATGCTACTATCTGATGATGAAACTAGTAACGAATTAATAATCGAGAGGAAAGCTGTGAAAAGAAAATCTACCCAAGATGAAAATTTTGATGAAATTTTCAATTTTTCGAGCCCAAGTAAGAAAAAGCCAACAGAGTGTTCATCGGTTTCACGGGCTCAACCTAATGGATGTGTTGCATTTATAACAACGAATCAAAATGATATATTAACAGCCACTTACTTACTTAAAATCGAATTGTATGACTTGAAAGCAATATCAAATATACCTAAAAATCAGCAATGGAAACATGCTAAAATAAGGACTAAATATTATGCCAAAGATACAAGCTCTCATTTAAATACGGTAAAACAAGTTATATATAACATAAGTAAGGAAATATCATCGTTGGATTCTTGTAAAAAAACAGTTTTCAACAACAACTGGAATTGTTAACTGATATTGATCAAATCGCTTTTATTAAAGCGGTGATAAAATAAGAGGTGGCATATCTCAGTGCAGCAACAGATATGCTAAATCTAATAATAAATATTTAGAAAATTTTGACATGAACATTATTCATTACAGAAATTTAAAACAATATTTAAAAATGGGTATTAAACTAATCAAAATTCATAGGATATTAAAGTTTCGTCGAAGTCCCTTGAAAGTTGAAAAATACATTGATTTAAACACTAATTTAAGAAGCGTTGTGGTTTCCGATAGGTTTAGATCAATCAAACGTACCGTCTTTACTCAAAAACTAAATAAAACTTGTTTGTCTTATGATGAAATTTGTAATTTAGTAGTTGTAAGGAATTGTAAATAATAGATAAGTAATGATTGTTTGTAAATTGTTTAGACATAAATTTGTTAACGATAAAAAAATATATAGAGATCTAACAAAGAGTTTAATTTATTTCCTTTTAAACTTCTGATTAAGCATGTCGTGCAAAATGTTTCACTTTACACATCCTTTTACTGCTATAGTTGCAGGCCCGAGTGGTTGCGGTAAAACAAATTTTGTTACAAATTTTATTCAAAATATGAAACATCTTTGCAATAAAAATTTCGCCCAAATTACATGGTGCTTTGATGAAATGCAACCGATATATAACTTAGAAAATGTCAATTACTGTCAAGGTATTCCAGATTTGAACATGTTTGATGGTAGGGAGCCAAATCTAGTAATATTAGATGACCTTATGAGAGAAACTGATGGTAGGATTGTAGATATATTCACCAAAGGAAGTCATCACAGGAACTTAAGTGTTTTTTATATTACGCAAAATTTATTTCATCAAGGAAAAGGACAAAGAGATATTTCGTTGAACTCAAGTTACATCATCTATTTTAAAAATCCCAGAGATAAAACACAGATTAGGTACTTGGCACGTCAGGTATCTCCAGAAAATCCTAAGTTTATTGAAGAAGCCTACAGGGATGCCACTAAAGAAGCTTATGGGTACTTGATGATTGATTTAAAACAAAATACCGCTGATTTATGTCGAATAAAAACAAATATATTCTCTTTATCACATGAGTTTTGTCATGTGTACGTGCCAACGAAGGGGTTTAAATATGCTAAGAACCAGGAAATTCCCGTCATTTACAAATAATGCATCGAAGTTTAAGCACGCATAAAGATTTGCTCTCGGCTCTTCATAAATTAAAACCAAAGTATAGAATAGCACTTTTAAAATCCTGTGACAAAGAAGAAATAAATTGTATTTGTGAATGTATTTATAACGTGTTGCAAGGAAAAATACCCATTGAGCATAAAGATAAGAAAAAATTAAGTAAATATAAATCTGTTCTTCGTAAGATAGTTCGCAAATGCTCGGATAAAGTACGGAAAAATATCATAATTCAAAAAGGTGGTGCATTTTTACCGATAATACTTGGTTCTATTTTGAGTGCATTGCTTGGAATTATAGTAAAATAAATTACAAGATGGAACATGCTAAGAGAATGGTTCTCATTGAACCACATTTAATAGAAAAAATAAATAGTTGCAATACATCAGACAATCCAACTTCTCGATTGGATGCAGAAATGAAAAAAATATTAAGTAGCAAACTTGATGATAGAAAAAAATGTATTTTGTATTTACAAGTTCTTCAAAGATACTTACATTTTAATGAAGAAAATCGTCGCCCCATTGAAGTGCCAGTAATTTTTCAAAATGATAATATTACAAAAGCAGATATAAAGGATGAAACACAAGATCCTGCTCCAGTGTTACAAATACCGGAGAAAGAAACACAGGATACAGCACCTACAAAATATCCTATTTACAATCAAAGTCAAATTTTAAGTTTGATTCCAAAAAGTTACTGCAAAAAGGGTGAATCAATTTTAAATATATTATCACTAAGTAAGAACAAAGTGAATTGGAATGAAGATAATGGTTTAGTGATGATAGATGGAAAAACAATTCCGGGTAGTAATATTGTGGATTTAATTAATGATTTGCTAAGACCTTTGAAAAATAATAACCCGATTGGTTGGGAGGACTTTGCGACTGCTTTGAAAGACTTAAAAATTCCACTCACGTATTTGGGAAATGCACAACGCATTGATTTCATAAAAAATCTAACGTTAAAAGATTTAGACGAGTTGTCAACCGACGAGGAATATTCTACTCCTACTACAACTAAAATAAGTCGTAAGAAATTTTCCTGGGAGAAATGGAATCCATACTAAACACAAATAATTTAAATTCCATAAATGAAATATATTATGATCCATCTCACCCAGCAGGATTTAGTAGTGTAGATACATTAACAAAAGCAATGAAAGGTAAAATGACAAAAGCTGATGTTAAGGGCTGGCTGCAGTCTCAAGAAACTTATACTCTTCATAAACCGATACAAAAACGATTTCCACGAAACAAATATATTTTATCAAACTTTAATGAACTTTGGCAAGCAGATTTAAGCGATATGAGAACTTATTCCAAACACAATGATGGCTATAATTACATACTTTGTGTTATTGATGTATTTTCTAAGTATGCATATGCAAGACCTATGAAAAATAAAAATTCTGAAACTATTAAAAATTGTTTTGAGTCTATATTTGAAGAAGCAAATGCTACTCCTACTCATCTACAATCTGACAAGGGCACAGAGTTCGTTTCAAAGTATGTACGCAAATATTTAAACACTAGGAATATTAATTACTATACAACAAACAACCCCGATATCAAAGCAAGTATTGTGGAGAGGTTTCAAAGGACACTAAAAACAAAAATGTGGCGTTACTTTACCCACAAGAACACCTACAGATATATTGATATTTTACAGGATTTATTGTACGCTTATAATAACAGTTATCACACCAGTATAAAAATGTGTCCGAGAGACGTTAACTCTAGTAATATTAAAACTGTTTGGGACAACTTATACGGGAAGTCAATAGATGTATTAACTGCTAAAGTACCGAAATTTAATATAGGTGATTACGTTAGAATAACTAAATATAAACATGTATTCGCAAAAGGTTATGAATCGAATTGGAGTGATGAAATATTTGTTGTGTCATCTGTAGTTCACCGGTCACCATGGATTGTATATACATTGAGAGATTTACAAAACGAACCAATCGAAGGCACGTTTTATGAGAAAGAATTACAAAAGGTGTCATATAACCCCACTTTAAGTTTTAAAATTGATAAAATAATACGCTCTCGTGGATCAGGGGACAGAAAAGAAGTGTTTGTCAAGTGGAAAGGATATCCACATAAATTTAATAGTTGGATTTTGGCTTCGTCGATAAATACATTTTAAATATGAAAGAAAGTTTTTATCTAACTTTGCTTAGTAATAGTTCTAAGGAATATTTTCCGGATAATTTAACTACTCGCTTTTCAACTAAATTACCAAAATCAATAGTACTTGAAGGAACATGGCATGTGGGAATTGTCGAGTTTCAATATCCTTGTACTATGTATACAGTTCAAGAACACGAAAATATTGTTTATATTACAAAGATAGTAAAGATGCCAAATGAATCTGAATCTTCAATAGTACATTACAAAGCACACATTCCTGCTACAAATTATGACAACATTAATCACATTGTAAGTGCATTAAATAATATAAAAGAAAATATCAGGTTTCGATATGATGACCTGTCAAAACTTGTTAATGTTACTATCATAGATGAAAACATAAAAAGGTTATCGTTATCGCCTCAATTATCTCTACAACTTGGCTATGAACCCTACAGAAATTTAGTTGAAAAAGGCATAGGAAAATGTCCGGCTAATTTGCATTTAGGACTTCCTCCACAATTATTTGTTTACTGCGATATTATCGAACCACAAATAGTTGGTGACGTCATGACTCCTTTATTAAGAGTAATACCGCTTGATCCATCAAAATATATATATGGAGCAAACAAAATGCATATATTCACACCACCTCATTATTTACCAGTAATGAGAAGAGAGTTTGACACAATCGAAATAGATATAAGATCAAGTACCGGACAAGCAATACCATTTCAGTTTGGAACAGTGTGTGTGAAACTTCATTTTAAAAAAATATAATAATGTATAATCAAAACTTTCTTTGTCCATATCAACATTATTACTCACATCAAGCTGGATCAGGAATCGGTGTCATATACAAAGGTGTTCCATATCAGCGCGGTCACGGTATTGGAAGCTTTTTAGGAGGATTATTTAGGACGGTCTTGCCATTGCTATCTAGTGGAGCTCGTGTTGTTGGCAAAGAGGCCTTAAATGCAGGTGTCGGTTTATTATCTGATTTGGTTAGTTCTCGTCCAATGGAGGAATCTATAAAAACAAGATTAAAAGAGGTGGGAACTAATTTAAAAAGAAAAGCTGATGCTAAAATCGATCGCATCAACATGTCTGGCTCTGGCTATATAACAAAGAGAAAAAGGCGATCTGCAGTCATTTCACCAACAACTTCTAAAGTGAAAGCTTCCAAGCCATTAAAGTGCGATAAATTACAAATGAAAGATATATTTACAAAATAATTTAAAATGTCATTTTTACACAGCATTTGTGAGTGCATAAAGTCAGAATTAGATTTATTTGCCTTACCTTCAACTCAAACAAGTATTGAAAGTGGAATATGGATTCATTATAAACCAATTTCATCTCTTGCCGACGATGGGCCGATAGAATTTCAAGTACCAGGCGCTGGGGACGATTACATTGATTTATCACATACGATGATACACATAAAAGCTAAAATTATTAACCAGGATCTATCCAAATTGATATCATCAACTATGGTGGCTCCTGTCAATAACTGGATGCATTCGCTATTTAATCAATTGGATGTTTATTTGAATCAAAAACTTGTCTCACCCCCAAACAATACATATGCGTATCGCTCCTATATAGAAACTTTATTGAACTATGGTCCTGCAGCTAAGGAATCCCATTTAACATGCGGCCTTTGGTATGAAGATACTTGCGGAAAAATGAATTCAACTGATAATGATAACAAGGGTTTTGTTAAGAGACAGGCCTTTGTATCAGAGAGCAAAGAAGTGGAAATGATTGGACATTTACACGGTGATTTGTTTAATCAAGAAAAGTTTTTAATAAATGGAGTTGAAATGTCAATAAAATTAGTCAGATCTAGAGAAACATTTAATTTAATGGCCGCCTCTAATTATCTAAAATTGAAAATATGTATCACAGACGCTTCACTTATTATTCGTAGAGCTCGAATAAATCCAACAGTTTTACTTGCACACCAAAAAGTCTTGTCAACTACAACGGCTAAATACCCCATAACCCGAGCAGAAGTAAAAGTTCTAACAATACCAGCAGGAGTTCAGGGAAAGAGTCTCGATAATATATTTCTAGGTCAAGTACCAAAAAGATGTATAGTTGGTTTTGTAAATAACACAGCTTTTAACGGCTGTCTCACAAAGAACCCATTTAATTTTGAAAACTACGACCTCAGTTCATTTTGTTTATACGTGGATGGCCAGCAAATACCTTCGAAGGCGTTACAGCCGTCGTTCGAGAACAACATTTTTACGACGGCTTATCATACTCTGTTCTCAGGAACGGGTATTCATTTTCTTAACGAAGGGAATGGTATATCTAGAGATCAATATTCTAAAGGTTACTGTCTTCTGGCTTTTGATTTAACTGCTGATTTATCAGCTAGTTCCGCCAGTCACTGGAACCTCATAAGAAATGGTAGTGTGAGATTGGAAGTTCGTTTTGAATCCTCGCTTTCGGAAACTATAAATTGTATTGTATATGCTGAGTTTGATAATGTAATTGAAATTGATAAAAATCGTAATGTAATCGTAGACTATAGCAGTTAAGACTCAAATGTATTAGATTAAGTATAATAAGACTTTTAATAAAGTATTGATGTTTGCAAACTGTGTTATTATTATTACATTTATGTTATATAAATGGATAGCATTTCCGTAATCACACCATTACTTTATGATCAATCCGGAACTGTAGAGCTACGGAATTTAAAAATGAATACCTTACAGCTTCAGGACTGCTTATCAAAAATAAATCCAGTATTACATAACAATGTTTTTGCCGCGAACAGATTACCCATTCATATGGAATTACCTATTTATTTAATAAGCAATCTGGACCCAGATACACAGCCAGGTTCCCATTGGGTAGCAATACACGTAGATAAAAGCAGACACGGTGAATACTTTGACTCTTTCGGCCGAGCACCTTCAGGTTCACACAGATTGTTCCTGAACCGTAACTGTACTATGTGGAACTACAATAAAAGAGTTTTGCAAGACGATTGGTCATCAGTATGTGGGGAGTACTGTTTGTTTTATATATTTTTTAAAGTTCATGGAAAGAGTCTTGACGATTATATAATGTTTTTTGATGAACATAATCGGGAATGGAATGATATACAAGTAAAAGTCGGTGTTTTTGAAAATATTATGAAGTAATAAATGTGTACACAATCTTTAATTATTTTATTTAGATTATCCTGAAACGCGATATTGTTTCCTTGCAATATGCGGTTTATAAATCTTTAAAAAGGAGATAACCGTGTCAGTTGGGGTTCCTGAGTTGTGAGCCACAGCTCGGTAAGGTAGATAGTTTTTCGAAAACTGTCAATAGATGGCGCTGATATCAATACTTCCCAAATAGACGCTAGACGCTAGGCGGCGCCGTGCTACATTTCAGAGGGGGGGGTCCCCCAGCGAATCCACAGCGATCGCGATTTGAGACCCCAGCCAGCCAGGGGGGGGGTCCCCCAGCGACGGGCCCCGACGAGTGAGCCAGAACTCTCGAATCCTAACTACTATCATCTGACTATTTAATGTTAGTTTATTATTTTATTTTTTACAATAATATACATATCAATACAAGATAGAGATATCTCGAGCAGATCTTAGTAGCTCTTATTATATTAAGCTAGGTAGGGAGAGAAGTGAGGTAAGTGGTGATCGACCAGCAGAGATCTCTTAAACTTAGTTTTCGGTCATAACCCCAGAACATCTCTTGTGTACCGACAATGACCTTAGATTCTTTACCATCACGGTTAGTTTAGGTAGGTACATGCTAGCTTGTGCCTTTCACACCTCTAACGAAAGGAATAAATATGGAAATTTAAAGCCAACAAAGATATCCGAAGATGCCATAAAACTGACCTTTGAAGCAAAAAGATGTTAAGTTGACGATGTCGTCTGTATTTTTAAATGAGAATTATTTTGTATATTTCTTTTTATTATTAACATGTTCTAACATTACAAAACAATATCCATTGCGATGGAATTATTAAGAACATATTTCATGGAGTAATGTTTTTGTAAATTCACCAAAAATGCACGTAAAAATGTCGTTCCCCTCCTGCAGCTTGTTGATAACACGCAAAGCACGAGCAAGAGGGGATTTCATCAGTAAGTTGGTGCCTGAGTACGGTAGCGCAAGTAACGGTGGTCGTACACGCCTCCAAACGTATCGGTCCGTAACAGAAAGGTGTAAGGACTGTAGAACTCCTGGGTTCAACTCTCGACCCCGCAATACTTTTACCAGATATACAGGGTGTCCCAAGAAGTAGTGTCAAGCGGTGGTCCCAAGATAGAACACCCCTTGGAGCATCCGAAACACCCCCATGTATGTTCTGCGGTAATTTATAGTTTTCAAGTTACGAGTTTTTTTCTAAAATTTTGAGAATTTTTGACCTAAACAATTTAAACGGTAATTTAAAAAAGGTGATAAGACTTTTTCTAGATTTTTTTTTCACAGCTCAACAAGCATGAGTTGTACATTAATAATTAAAACATTTGTCTTCGTAACCTTAACGGAAATTAAAAATATGATGATTCAAAGGGAAAAGGTTACGAGCGTTTTAAAACTTGCGTTTTAAAATTTTAATTTTAAATTTGAAATATTAATAGGTAGCTCTGTAGCTCATAAGTAAGTTTAAAAACTGCGCCAGACTCTCAGCTTTAATAATCATTAAAAAAAAGGACTACTTAATAAGCTACTTTTGCTAATACCAGACCTCAAAGACAGATAGGCGTAAAAATGTAATAAATAGCCATTTGGCAACGAGATTGTTTTTTTTGCATTCTTGAAGTTAATTTTTAAAATTAGCCATAAGATTTGGAACCTTTTTAAACATTTTATTATTTCTGAAGACGATTCGATTGTTAAGTAACTAAAATCTACTGAGGGAGCGCTAAATGGCAAACATCTGGTTTATGTAAAAAAACAATAAATTAAAACTTAAGGTTTAAATTAAGATTTTTCTATAGTACTAGAAATCAACAAATTCAAAAACCAAAATTTGATTACATGCACTTTTGCTATATATTTTTATCAGGCGCTATAATTTATTAAGAACAAAAATCGTCTAAAAATTGTGTTCAGCTGTCAAAAGTGTTATATCAAACCGAACTTTCTAAAACAGCTAAAAAAGATTGGCTGCGATAAATGCGCAATTACATCTATATCTATACTAATATATAAAGCTGAAGAGTTTGTTCGAATTAAAATTATTATTGTGTTGGTTAGAGCATTTATCGAGGAAGGTTATAGGCTATAACACATATGCGATGTGACTAATAGGAACGAAGATACAGCGAGTGAACAAAACGGGGAATTTTTCATGTCTCTAGGTTTCAGATGCGTACGCTGCGAAAACGGTTCGAGATACCTAAAAATTGTGTAAAAAAGAATCATTCCCCTTTAAATGATATATGTCTATTTTTTAAGATTAACTGGCAAGAACGACCCGAACGATGGGATGCGAATATTGTGGGCAACAGCTATATACACTAATACTATAAAGAGGAAATATTTGTATTTTGGTATGTATCGGATAAAGTCTAAAAGTACTGGCCCGATTTTAATAATTCTTTTTTCATTAGAAAGCTACTCACTATCACTGAGTAAAATAGACTATACTTAGTAGTAGATTACGATAAAGATCTTTAGAAATTTCTATTAAAAGCAACGGGAGGTGTAAAAAAATTGCCATAAAATGTCTTTCATCGCATACGCTGCGAAGAGTATTAATGATAGGAGAAAAAAATGTTCTACAATATTATAGAATATATCAATATCTACAAAAAACATCGCGAGACTTATTAGTCTAACTATTGTACTTACATCACTATAACTACTTTTTTACATATTTTAACAAAGTGATAGAAATGCCGAACAAAATCAAACCGTGTTATCCATACCATTTAAACATTTTTATTTAAATAAATCTATACTAATATTATAAATGCGAAAGTAACTCTGTCTGTCTGTCAGTGCGGCTTTAATCCGAAACTGCCGAACTGATTTAAATGAAATTTGGTACACAGATATTCTAGAGCCTGAGAAAGGACATCATATACTACTTTTGAATACCAAAAAAACGTTGATGAGGGTTGAAAAAGGGAATAAAAGTTTGTAAATTCGTGGTTTTTGAAGCTAGAACAATGAAACGGTCTTCTTTGGCTTTTTGGAAATAGGAACAGCAGTGGGAGTGGGAGTGTAGCGGCAGAGTTGCACTTACAACATAGATTAGCTGCCTTAAATGCGCCCATATATAAATTAATAAACAGCCTGAATAATTAAAAATTCGGCCCCAAATCACTATTCCACGCGGACCAAGTCGCCGGCACAGCTAGTTATTCTATAAGCAAAGTGCATAATGTAGCTTTATACAGCTTATATTTTTGTAGTGAGTGTTAGTAACACGTAACTCGTTGTTTTGTTTTGTTGTGTGAGATAAGAGATTTTTATTTGCGAATTCAAAAGTGCTTATACAACTGATACAACTAAAAACATAAAGTTTTTGGCCATATAGTTTTTGAGTTAACAACTTTTTTCACATTTTTGGTCATAGTGATTTAGTTTACGAATACGATCTTAATATTAATGTAAGTGCACTAGAAAGCCCTTTAAATAGGCTTTCTAACGACATATCGTTTGTTATCCTACGATAACAACATCATATGAAACCAGCGTCTTCATCTATTTGCGGTCGAGCTGAAGCAGACGGAGCGTTCGAGTCCTCATCAGGGGTCAACCTTCTGGAGCACGCCTAAGCGAAATATTGTAATGTCAAGAGAACGTCTTAGTTTATATTATTTTAAATTTTCATTAAATTACGTGTAATAGTTTTTAAGATATAAGCCATAGCATCTTTTGTTAACGGTTTGGGATACACAAATAAAAATATCACATCGATAGTTAAAAGCCAAATAATACATATATATCGCCATTCGATAGATATTTTTTTCCTCATATAGAATATAGTTTTTTTAATTTCATTTGGACTTAAATTAAAAAAGTTATAAGCCTTTAAATTTCTTAAAATTTTCTAAAATTAACATTACTTTTCAGCGCTTATAACAAATAATATATAATAGACTCAGTAATTAAACAATAGCTATAAAACTTTAGTTCTTTAGCTATCGAATGAGCCCAAAAACATCAAAATCCATCAACTCTAAGGTTAGGTTTTTTTTTAATTTTTTTTTCTGACATTTTTTTTTTAATATCCTACTGAGCCTACCCCCGGACGAAGTTATCTCCGGGCCGTGGAATATCTAGCTATATGGGTATCTTTATTTATTGGGTTTTCATTTTTATTTAAATAATATTTTGTACACCTTTTTATTTTTATCTTATCTTATTATAAACATTTCTTATTATACTATTTTCTACATTGCATTGTTAAGTATGGCTTATATTTTCATTATTACATTATATTATATTCTTAATTTACTTTATTTTACAGAAGTTATTTATTATTATGTTATTAATTATTATACAATACATTTTTTTATACTTATTATCTATTTTATCTTATTTATTTGTTCCTGGCGTTTGCCATATGTACTACTTTTTTCATGTAGCTTAATAAGAACAGGCCTCGCTTTATCGTCTTTTAAGAACTTCTGACAGTCTGTCCTCGGTCAAGTCAATGTCCAGTCTGTGTTCCAAGTCGGTTCTGTCACGTGCGTGGATTGGACAGCGGGTCAACAGGTGTATTATTGTTTCGTCACCACCCCCACAGGCACAAATAGGGTCGTCCTTACAATTAAATCTGTGGAGGTAGGCAGCGAAACCACCATGGCCCGTTAGGGCCTGTGTTAACCCGCTGTCCAGTCCTATCTTTTTTATTAGTTTATTCGCGGATGCAACGGTTGGGAGGAAGATTTTTGTGGTTGAGGCTGTTGTGCCCTCCGTCATATTCCTCCTCCCACCGTCGCACAGAGTCCGCCCTTAGTAGTCTTTTAATGGTCGAGACTGGACATTTGTCAAAGTCGGGTTTTCTTTTCCTGTCAGTCGCGGCCTCTTTAGCGAGCTGGTCAGCTCTCTCATTCCCCTCGTGGCCCACATGTGCCTTTATCCAGAAGAGCCTCACTTCCTTATAATTGGAGAGGTCCTTGAGGGTCTTTCTGGTTTGCACCACAAGGGGATTGAGGGAGCGACCGCTCACTATGTCCTCCAAGGCTGACCTGGAGTCGCTGCACAGGTTTACTTTGGGACTAATGACTTTCGTCGCCATTTGTATTGCCTTGTGCAGCGCCACCATCTCAGCCTGGAAGACGGTGCAGTACGTCGCCAGTTTGATCTTCACGGTCTTGAGCTCTCTGTCGAGTCGTCGCAAGACAACTGCTGCTCCCACCCCGTCGTCGGTCTTGCTTCCGTCAGTATAAATGTTAGTCGCGTCTGCCTGTTCGTCTAGTCTGAGTTCTGTCTTGTAGTGTTCGAACGACAGACGCGGCTCGTCGGCTGGGTGTGGAAGTTCTGTCGGTTTGGTCTTTGTTGCTATGTCCGCGTCTAGGTACGGGGGGGGGGATGAGACCTCTTTTCACTCTGTACAGAACCACTGCCTCCTCGATCCTCAGGTTGAGGGGTAAGATCCCGCTGAGGACCCGAACCGAGTGTAATGAAGTGGTTCTGTACGCCTTACACATTTTTTGCAAAAACATTCTCTGTATCCTGTCTAACTGCACTTTTACACATTTCTTACTTACTGCCTGCCCCCAAGCACCCGCGGCATACATCAGGACTGGTTCTATCACTGCAGTATAGATTGTCCTGATGATCGATGTGTCCAGGCCCCAGCTGGTTTTGGCCGCTCTTGCCAACTGCCTGAAGTATCCGGTAGGCCTTTGCGCATGTGGTTTTGACGTGGGTGTTGAAGGTGAGGCTCTCGTCAATTATAAGTCCGAGTAGCCTCACCTCCCTCACCACCTCAATCCCTTCCCCGCCCATGCTCAGTCGAGGGGTGTCATGCTTCAGCTTCTTTGTCACAACCAAAGCATTTAGTTTTATGTGGTGCGAATTTCAGCTTGTTCATGACACCCCACTCCTGAACATAGGCGAGGGCTGCATTGGCCTGTCCTTCGATCTCGCCGGCAGTATGTCCGTCAAAGAGCAGGACCACATCGTCCGCGAACGCTTGCGCGCAGACTCCCTTTCTTTCAAGACCTTTCAATAGGGGGTCCAATAACAGGTTCCATAGTATTGGGCCCCCCTATAGATCCTTGCACGCAACCTTTTGTACACTTTCTTTCCGTCTCACTGTCCCCCGTATCTTAGTCTCACTTTCCTGTCTTTTAAGGTAACTGTCAAAGACCCTACGCAAGTTTGTGGGGCAGCCCGCCTCTGCCAGTCTGCACTTTATGGCCGGCCACCATGCGCTGTCGAAGGCGCCCTCTATGTCCAGTGAGACCAGCACCGCGATCTTTTTCTCAGCGATGGGGTCTTTTATGTTGCTCAGCAGGTCATAGAGGGCGTCCTCGGTACCGCGTTGCGGCATAAAACCGTACTGCCTCGCGCTCAAATGTGGCACAATGTGCCAACTGGCTCTTGCCACTAAAAGTTTTTCCGCGATCTTCCCCATCACTGGAAGAAGGCCGATCGGTCGGTATGCCTTCGGGATTGTGTAATCTGTCCTGCCCGGCTTCCGGAGAATCACCACTGTGGCCTCCTTCCAGATGGTGGGGAAGTGTCCTATGGATAGGCACTTGTTGATGAGCGCGAGGAAGAGTGTGGGGTCGACCATAATTGCCTCCCTACAAATGTCAAAAGACAGTCCGTCACGTCCCGGTGCCTTTTTTGGGTTGAAGGAGTTCAGGACCCTATTTAGTTCTTGTTCCGTAAACGGGGGCTCAAGGAAGCCCTCGCTGGGGCCCTCGTTCACCCTCAAAGCTTTGGTCCTGATCTCCTTGTGCACCTCCTGGTCTTTGTCCTCGTCATCGTCCGGGTAGAAGGTCCTGGTCAGCAGCTCCGCCGATTCCCGCATTCCCAGCACCTTTCCTTCTTTTATTAAGGGTGTGTCCTCTCTCCTAATTTCTGTTCTTTTAATTACTCTGTAAATCCCTTCCCACATCCCTTCCCTGTCTTGTTTTCCACAGAACTCTTTCCAACTCCTAAGCTTTGCTTCCTTTATACCTAATTCATATTTTTCTTTTGTTTTCAGGTAGTCCTCGACTACGTGCTGTCTTCTGGTTGGTGCTGCGCATCTTATTCTTCTTTTCTTCGGTCTTCATCTGTTTTTTCAGTGCTGTCAGTTCCTGGGTCCACCATGGTACGGTAAGTTTCCTTGTCTTGCTCAGCTTTGGCAAGCTTTCTTCACACACTTCCTTAATCATTTCCGTGTACTCCTCGACCGCTCTGTCCAGCTCCTCTTCTGTTCTTATCTTTTCTACCTACTAGGCCTACCCCCCGGACGAAGTTATCTCCGGGCCGTGGAATATCTAAGCTAATGATTTTTCTTTCTTAAAATGTTTTCTCATATGTTTCTTATTCTAACTTACAGGCTAGTCATTTCTTTATTAATATATTTTTTCTCAAATTTCTTATTCTAATTGTACAAGCTATTTATTTTCTTTATTAAAACATCTGCTTACAAATTTCTTATTCTAGAGATAACATTACAATTCTTATTACTATTTACTAAAAATTCTGCTAATTCACACACACGTATATCCACTTTAATTTATGTACATATTTCTATTCTTTATTTATTCCAATTTTTACTTTACAAATTTCTTATTCTAGAGATAACAATACAATTCTTATTACTATTATTCCTACTATTTCACACACACATATATCCACATTAATTTATATACATATTTCTATTCTTTATTTATTCCGCTGTTTGCTTTACAAATTTCTTATTTTATACTATACAATACAAACAACTTTAAGTTTACTTATTACTATTTACTAATACTAGTTTTGCACACTTATATCTATACATACTAAAACCTTTTTATTTATTCCGTTTATTTGCTATTTTTACTATTTGCTTACAGAATTGTAGCAAAGGAGGCCTCATCCCGTCGTCCATCATGATTATTTTTAAGTTACTTTCTGTCAAGTCAATGTCAAGTCGGTTTTCCAGTTTGTGTCTTTCGAGAGCGTGGATTGGGCAGCGAATCAGCAAATGGGGCACCGTCTCATCCTCGTCTCCACAGGCGCAAACGGGGCTATCCTTACGTTTGAACCTGTGGAGATATGCGGCGAAACCACCATGCCCCGTTAGAGCCTGTGTTGCTTCGCCGTCCAATCCCACCCTCTTTATGACCCTAAAAGCGGCTGCAGCTGTTGGGAGGAAGATTTTCGTTGTTGAGGCTGTTCCTCCGTTTTGGTAATCCTCCTCCCAACGCTGCACCGTTTCTGTCCTAATTAGTCTTTTTATAGTAGAGATTGGGCAAAGGTCGTAGTCTGGCTTCTTTTTTATTGTTTTGGGCGGCCTCCTTCGCTAGCAGGTCCGCCCTCTCATTCCCCTCGTGTCCAGCGTGAGCCTTTATCCAAAAGAGATTTATAGTTTTTAATTGACGTATTTTATTAATTTTACGCCTTATTTGACTGGTGAGGGGATTGAGAGAACGGCCGCTTGTAATGTCCTCCAGTGCCGATCTGGAGTCGCTACAGACATTTATTGTCGGGCTCTTTTCCTTCTCCGCTAGCTCAAATGCTCTGTGCAGCGCCACCATCTCGGCCTGAAAGACACTACAGTAAGACGCTAATTTTATTTTCACTGATTTTTCGTCTGTCCTACTTCTGTAAATAACGACTGCCGCACCCACCCCATCATCAGATTTACTACCGTCAGTGAAGATATTTGTCACGTCTGTCTGTCTCTCTATGTTTAAGTCGGAGTCATACGTCGTGAATGTCAACAGGGGCTCATCCGCAGGGTGTGGTACTTCCAACGCGTCCGATCTGCCCTCTGGTTCTGCGTCTAGCTCTGGGAGGGGATGCAAGCCCCTCTTTATTTTGTACAGAACTCCCGCTTCCTCAATCCTCAAGTTTAGTGGAAGTAACCCAGTGAGGACTAATCCCGAGTGCAGCGAGACAGTTCTGTATGCTTTACAGATTTTTTGTAGAAAGAGCCTCTGTATCCGGTCTAATTGGACTTTCACACACTTCTTTCTCGCTGCCTGCTCCCAGGCGCTCGCGGCATACATCAGGATTGGCTCTATCACCGCAGTGTAGATCGTCCTGATGATTGTCGTGTCCAGGCCCCAACCTATCTTCGCGGCCCTGGCCAGCTGCCTGTAGATCTGGTAGGCCTTCGCACATACAGTCTTGACGTGCGTGTTGAAGGTGAGACTCTCGTCTATTATCAGTCCGAGGAGTTTCACCTCCTTCACCACATCAATTCTTGTCCCGCCCATGCTCAGTCGTGGGGCGTCATGCTTTAGCTTCCGCGTTATAACCATGGCTTTGGTTTTGTGCGGCGCGAATTTTAGCTTGTTTAAGACACCCCACTCCTGAACATAGGCTAGGGTTGTGTTTGCCTGCCTCTCGATCTCGCCCGCGGTATGGCCGTCAAAAACCAGGACAACGTCATCCGCGAACGCTTGGCAGCAGACGCCCTTTCTTTCCAAGCCTTTCAGTAGGGGATCCAACAAAAGGTTCCACAATATTGGTCCCCCTATAGATCCTTGTATGCATCCTTTCGTGTTAGCCTTCTCCACTTCCCTTCCCCCATATCGCAGCCTAACCTTCCTGTCTCTCAGATAGCTGTCGAACACTTTCCTTACGTTTACCGGGCATCCTACTTCCGCCAACCTACATCTGATTGCAGGCCACCACGCGCTGTCGAAGGCGCCCTCTATGTCTAGCGAGACCATTACTGCAATTTTCTTTTCATTCAGTTTTCCTCTGATGTGTCTCAGCAAGTCAAAGAGGGCGTCCTCGGTACCTCGCTGTGGCATAAATCCGTACTGTCTGGCACTCATCCTTGGCATAATGTACCAGTTTGCCCTTTTCACGAACATTTTCTCCATTATTTTCCCCATCACTGGAAGCAAACCGATAGGTCTGTAGGACTTCGGCGTCGTATAGTCTGCCCTACCAGGCTTTCGAAGCACTACCACTGTGGCTTCCTTCCAGATGGTGGGAAAGAATCCGATTTCCAAACATTTATTGATGAGTGCCAGAAATATATGCGGAGCGACAAAGATGGCTGCCCGGCAAATATCGAAGGTCAGGCCATCTAGGCCTGGGGCTTTCTTTGGATTAAAGGACTCCAGGACCAGCTTGAGCTCTCCCTCTGTGAAAGGGGGGTCGTTTGTGTCTTCTGCTCTCTCGTTTATTGTTTCCGCTTTGGCCCTGATGTCCCTGTGCACCTCACTGTCGTCCTCTTTGACATCGTCGGGAAAGAAAGTTTGCACAAGATATTCAGCGGATTCTTCCATTTCCAGCACCCTCCCTTCTCTCACCATAGGCATATCTTCCCTCCTTATTGTTGTTCTGTTTATAACCCTATATATTCCCTCCCACATTCCTTCCCTGCTTTGTTTCCCACAGAATTCCTTCCAACTTTCCAGCTTTGCTTCTTCTATTCCCTTCTCATATTTTTCTTTTAGTTTCAGGTACTCATTTACGACCTCCGCTCTTCGGGTTTGCGCTGCGCATCTGATTCTTCGTTTCCTGGTTCTAAGTTCTTTCTTTAGAGATGCCAGTTCCTCCGTCCACCATGAAATGGTAAGTGTTGATTTACTTCTTATTTTAGGTATATTCTCGTCACTTGCTTGTTTTATGATATCTATATATTTATGTACTGTTCTGTCTATTTCTTCTTCTGTTCTTATCCTGTCCATTTCTTCTTTGTTAATATTACTTTCATCTAGCATCTGGCTGATTTTTTCTCGAAAATTGCTCCAGTGAGCCTTTCCCGTGTTGTATATTCTCGTTGTTCTTTCTATTTCTACCCCTTTCAGTTTTGTCTTCCTTAATTTGAACACTATACCATTATGGTCCGAACTGGTTAGTCCTTCATCGACCTCCCATCCATCGATGAATCCAAGTAGATCTTCCGTACAGAAAGTAAGATCGACAAAGCTGCTGAAGTTCCTTCCGCCTCTGTATGTGTCGAACGTTGGTGTCGTTCCCTCGTTTAACACATACAGTCCCATCTCTGCGCAGGTGGCCATCAGATCTTCCCCTCTCCTGTCCGTGATTTCTCCTCCCCAAAGACTGTTTTTGGCATTTGCGTCTCCAGCGAATACCACTCTTGGTCCTACAGCTCGCCTTATCTTCCTCAGCTCGTCGAGATAGGGATCTATTGTCGTTGGCGCGGGCTCGAAGTAGAATGAGACCAGGAACACATCCTGTGCGTCGGTTTTCACCTTTACCACGACGATGTTGGGTGTGGTGAGGTCAGGACACAGTGTTGCGTCGGTGTTTGTGTCAAACAGCACGATTGCTGCTTTGACGACCTTCTCGGTTTTCCCCGCGCACTGGAATATTCTGGTCCCCCTGTACGCCTTCATTCTACCTTCCTTTCCAATGTAAGGCTCTTGAACCAGCGCCGCCGTAGCCCTTCTCCTCTGGCCCTCCATGATTAGTTCGCTGGTTGCGGCGTCCTTTCTCTGCAGATTTGCTTGTATGATCAGGTGCTGCTCGATGCGGTCGTCCGTTATAACTTTAGAGAGAACCTTAGCAGTACGCTACTGAGGCTCTCGCCAGTTCGTCCCATCTGCACCTTATCGGGCAACCCTGATCGAAGGCATTGTGGTCGGTCCTGTCGAGATTTGCCCGTGTGCAGTTTACGCAGGATGGCTTTATGCCATTTTGGTACTCCGGGCAACTTTCTTTTTTGTGGGACCCACCGCAGTGGGAGCATACTTCCGCTCCTTCCTTGCAGAGCTTTCTTCCATGCCCATAACCTAAGCATTTCGAACACTGTACGAGGGGTGTTTGATCCGTGACGTTTATCTTTTGTAGGTCTATGTGGACCTTTCCTATGTCGACCATCCTTTGCCACAGTTTTGGTGGAACTTGTAGGATAACATGATTGGTATGTGGGTTCCTTGTTTTTCTTCTGTACCTTATACTAATCCTTTCTTCTTCCTCTTTTTCCATTTCGCTCATAAGGTTCTTATTTTGTAGTTTTAACGCTGTTATAATCTCCTCATCCGTGTTTACGCATAGTACATCCCTTAGAATAACTAGAGGATCCTTGTTCACCGCCTTTTCCACTCGTAGTTTACTATCGAGTTTTAGTCTCTCCTTTACCTTTTCCAGTTCCTCCTCTGTTTCGCACCCTAGAACTACTTTCTGGTCTCTTGCCTTTCTTATCCTGTCCACTCTTACTCCTGTAGTCTTTGCATTTACTGTTGTCCTTATCCTTTCTATTATCTCTCCACTTGTTTCCGTTCCATTTGAGGTGATTATAATAGCGTGTTTAGCTGCTGCCTGGTTATTTTGTGATGGTGCACGTTCTCTATCTCCAGGTCTGATTCCTGTTGCCACTACGCTAGCATAGGATCTCAGTTCGCTTGTTACTCTACTGCTTTCTTCAATGCTTTCCTTTAATTCTCTTCTGGTGGTTTCCTCTTCCTTCCTCTGTTCCTTGATTATCTTCTTTATTTCTTGAATCTCTCTATTTCCTTCTTCTATTAGCTTCTTCTGTTCCTCTATTTTATTTATTATATTTCTTACTTCTTTACCTTCTATCTCTGTTTGTTCTTTTGCTTTTTCTTTCTTTTCTTCTTCTTCTTTCCTTCTAGTGGGGTTCGGATAATCCTTTGTTTGATCCTTTCTTTCGTTCAGTAGGTCCTTCACTATTTCCTGGAGTCTCTTGGTTGCTGCCTTCACTTCTACCTTTATGTCAGTTCTTAAATTCTTTGCACTGTCTAGTTTGATATTTATTTTCTGGAAGATGCCTCTAATTTCGGTCTCTCTAGACTTATAGGTCTTCCCGAATACAGCCTCAGAATCAGATGTGTCCGATATAGGCGTAGTTCGTTTTTCGGTACCGTCAGTGCCTGTATTAGAGGAGGCCGTGTCAGCTGATGTCGACGGTGAAAGGGAAAAGAAGCTAGCGACGGGTGGTTCCAGCCCTGCGGTGCACTGTTTTTCTGTCATTGTAAGTATTTCGTCTGTTGCGTTACTGTCGGGTGTATTGTCAGGTATATTATTATTTACTGGAAGTTGTCGTTTAGTGGGCGTGCGGTGGCCGAAAACCATTTTTTAAATTTAAATTTGAACTGAAGAAAATTTTATTTTCGAAAAATGGGGGGGGGGGGGTTGGGGGGTAATTTATTTAGTTAATTGAGTTCCTCTCGTCAAAACAAGTTTAACGAGCCCAAACACGATAAGTCTAGGACGTAATTTACTAAAATTAAAGAATTATGAAAAAATTTTTTTTTTTGAAAAAGTGGGGGGAGGGGGAAACTAGAGGAGCCAAAGTATTCCTCTCTTAAATACGAGCAGTTTAAGCCCAAACTCGGGGGTGTTATGACTACGGGGGTGGTTTGCGGTTCTGAGGGGGTGAGGGTTTCACTTTTGCGGGGGGGAAAAATTTTTATTGCACGAACGTATAGCTCGTCCAATGGCGACCACGACGAGCCCAGGCACTATTAATCTAAATTAATTACAAAGGAAGTTATGCTATGTTGTAGTTTTTAAGAAAAAATATTGTTTTGTATGTTTGTTTACTAGAGATAATTTGTTCAAGTACGGTTGTTAAATGAATATATTATATTATTATTTTATATTATAAAAGTTTCGCTCTTGGTATATTTTGTTGAATTTAAACCGTTTTAAACAGAGAACCGTTGGAAACCTTTAGCTACTTTACGGATTTATACTTCAAGATTATATGAGAGACTGCTAGTGGTAATAAGTAAAGGAATGCGTTAGTGTGAGTGCGATACAGGTACGGATCGTAAGCAAATTTCGGGGGAATTTAATCTTCCGATTATAGTATAGAGTGTTGTAGAAGTTTACTTGTTCGTATAATCTAATACTATTAATAAAATAAAAAGGGTACACGGTTTTAGTGGCTATAAGAATATATATTTCTGCACATATTTTTTGTTACTAATTCAGTTTTAATTTGTTATATAAAAGCTGTTTTATAACGAAACTCTAGCGAATAAAATAGAATAATTCTAGTGAAGATGTTATGAGGCCTTTTAGTAGCTATTAATTAGATTTTAGTCTTTTAATGTGAGGGAGAATAAAATAAAATTTTTAGGTTGCTGAGTCCGTCCCGCAAGTCGTCGCGCAGGTGTGCGGTGACGTCAGCTAGCGTCTTGGTCTTGTTCGCTTTTTAGCGCAATTTAGATTTCCAAGGTTATTTAAAGTTTTATTCGTTAATGGAACTATATGTATTTTTGTAGAGAGAAAGAAAGATATTGTAATTAATTTACATTAAATCCTAAATTAAAAGGAAGGATTAACTTAAATTTAAATTTCCACAGACTACATACGTACCAATAGAGCTACCCATTTATTACTTATTATTTAAATAAATTTAAAAACCAAAAGTAAGTTTTCCTTAAGTTATCTATTATTATTGCAAATTTAAATTGTAACCTTTTAACTAGAGAATGAATATGTATTAAAACGTTTTCAAAAGTACCAAGTTTTAAGTTTTAAGGAATAGTAAAGAGTGTTGGTAATAATAAGTGAAGGAATGCGAAGCTCTATTATTGAATGTTCGCTAGTGTGCGTGGAATACAGGTACGGATCGTAGCGCTGTTGCCAAGAATTTAATGACCCGAATTGTTGTATTGTAGTGTGGTAAAATTTACTTTTCTTATGTAATATAAAACATCCAGGCCTTGTCGCGGCGGGGGGGCTCAGTAGTCGGTGCTTATTATAGTGGCCAGGTGCCTAATCGGCAACAGACTGTCTGTGGGTCTGCCGATTCTGGCCACTATTGCACGACGAAGCTAATTGGATCCATCGGTCGGTCTCCGAAGACGACGCGGAGACCGATCACGGAGACGCAGCGCTCACCTCAGAGCGCTGCGAGCGTGCCTCCGAGCACGGTTGTTGGGGTCTGTTGAGACCAGTGGCCTTCATGGCGCAGTATGGTGGTGGAGTCACCACGGACGGCGGTGGTGGTGGACCGCGGCGCGGCGGGCCGGGCGTGGCGATGTGCTGCGCCTGGTTAGGGGTTTCGGCCCTCCGTCGGGCAAACCTGTTTCCCCGGGTGCGTGTCGTGGATCATGTCTCGCGGCGCACCTGGGACCAGGGGGCTTGCCTTAATCGGCCGGCCCAAGAGGAAGGAAAACCTCAGAAAAAACCCTGAATTTTGCGTGGTGTTGGGGCGTCTTCGGACCTCTGCGCGGCACTGCGCCCCCGCTTGCCCGCAGGGTGAGTGGGTGGTCCGGCAGTAACCGGGCCAGCTAGCGGCCAACCTCTGGCGACCGCCCGACCGCCAGTTGTATTAGGGTTACCCGGGTACAGGGCTCTGCCCGGGTGGACTTTGCATTTCCCTTAAAGCAAAAGAAATGCCGTTGCGCTTTGTAGCGAGGCGCAACATTTGTTTAAATGAAAAAGAAGAAATGGAAGGAGAAAAACAAAAAACAAAAAAAAAAACAACTAGTAGGAGGAGAAGGAGGAGGAGGAAGAAGGAGAGAGAGAGGAGAAGAGAGTAGAAGGGCGAGGGCGAGCGCTGAGGGTGGCGTTGACAAGATTGTCGGCGTCAGCCTTGGCTAGGGCTAGCCGCAGTACGAGGTCCTCCAGGGCCTCGTTAAATCTGTCCGACTCGGATTCGGACTTAGTCAGCGTGTCGTCCGCTGGCTCAGTCCCTCCGGTCGGAGACCTGGAGTCGAGCCGCTTCTGGCGCCAGAAGCGGAAACGACCCAAAGAGGGAGAGAAATCGCCAGAAGAGGGGTCTTCCACAGACACCCCTCTCTCTGTGGCGAGGAAAGGGTCCGCCGAGAAGCGACCCAGGGGCCGCCCGCCAACCACTGGCGAGTACGTCGGGTTGGCGGCCGCCAAAAAGGCCCTGAATAAGGCCAAGAGGGAGGAGATCCGGCTCCAGGCGGAGGCTGAGTTAGCGGCCTCTGTCTCGGAGGCCCGATCTACGCGGCCTTCCTCTGTGGCGTCGCTCGCATGGGACGAGGGGGACATAATGGGCACTTGTGTCCCCATGCCTCGTTCCGCCGTCGATGCCATAAAGGGCATCGACGAGAGTCTGGGCGTGATCCAGAGCGTGGCGAAGAAGTCCGGGAGTTTGAAGGGGACCTTCGTCCGCGCCCTCAATGACGCGGTCGCGTCCATTCGGGAGAACTCTGCTCTCCTCATCCAGAGGACGGTCTCTGAGGAGACAAAGGTCCTCCAAGCGGAGAACCAAAAGCTCCGCGAAAGGATGGAGGAGCTGACTCGGCGGGTGGAGGATCTGCAGCGGTCCTCCCAACTCCCCACTAGTTTGGAGGAGTTCGAGGCAGGGTTGCTGCGGAAGATTGGGGACAGGGTGAACGCCAGGTTCGAGGGCTTGGAGCCTCGACTGAACCCTGCTCCCCGACTCCGGCCGCCATTGGCGGCTGACAAAGCAGCCGCCAAACCTGCCGCCCCTTCAGCGAAGAAGGGGCCGCAGAGGCAGAGGAAGAGGGCTCCGGTTAGGGGTGAGGTAGTGGCACCTCCCCCTGAACCATCGAGGCCGCCGAACCCGGACTCCCTTGAGGGGAACTGGGTCACGGTGGTCAGAAAGGGACGCACGTCCCGGAAGAAGGAGCCCCGGAGTCTGCCTGCCCAATCCAGGGCGGGTGGTCAGGCTCCGAAAAAGCAGGCACGACCGCGTGCAGGCAAAGGGCCTGCAAAGTCATCCGGCCCTCAAACGGCGAAAAAGCCGAAACTCAGGGCGCCTCGGTCTTCGGCGGTGGTTTTGACCATCACCGAGGACGCAACGAAAGCGGGGCTTTCGTACAGTGAGGTCCTGAGGAAGGCCAGAGAGAGGCTGGACCTCAAGGAGGTCACAGGCCTCGATGGCATCAGGGTGAGGAAGGCGGCCACCGGAGCCACCATCCTCCAACTCCCCGGAGCCGCGAGCGGCCCCAAGGCCGACGCTCTCGCGAAAAAGCTCGGGGAGGTCCTGGACGGCGAGGCCGTCAAGGTGTCGCGGCCACAAAAGGCCGTCGACGTCCGAATTTCGGGCCTTGACGACTCCGTCTCGAAGGAGGAGGTGGCTGATGCCATCGTCAAAAAGGGCGAGTGCCCTCTCTGGCAAGTGAGGGTCGGAGACGTGAGGCGGGACCGCACGGGACTTGGCGCAGTTTGGGCGCATGTCCCTGTGGTCTCTGCGAAACGGCTCCTGGAGGGTCGATTTTTGGTGGGATGGGTGGCGGCGCGGGTGACTCTGGGTAAACCCCGGGCACTGCGTTGCTACCGATGCCTGGAGGCTGGCCACGTGGCAAGCCGTTGCGATTGCGCGAGCGATCGTAGCGGTCTCTGCTACAGATGCGGTCAGCCCGGGCACTTGGCGGCCTCTTGTACGGCCAGTCCGCATTGCGCGGTTTGCGCAGCGGCCGGCAAGGAGGCGACCCATCGGGTGGGTGGTGCCAAGTGCTCGGCCCCCACCAAAAAGATGCGGCGGAGAGTCCCGGAGAAGCGGGCCGCCGTCCCTCCGAGCGGGACCGCAATGGAGGTTGCCGAGACCGTAGGGGCCTAGTATGGCCCTACGGTTCCTCCAGGCGAACCTGAACCATTGCGCCAGGGCCCAGGATCTCCTATTCCAGGGCCTGGCGCAGTGGTCCATTAACATTGCGGTGCTTGCGGAGCCGTATGCGGTGCAGCAAGGGGACAATTGGGTCGGGGACTTTGGCGAGACTGTCGCCATAGTCGTCACCGGAGCCGTTGGCTCTCCCCCAATTGTCTCTTCACGGAGAGGCCAGGGTTGTGTCGCGGCGAAGTGCGGCAACGTGGTGGTTGTCGGGGTCTACTTCTCGCCCAACAGGACTCTGTCGGAGTTCGAGGAGTTCCTGGCGGAAGTAGACGCCCTCGTGTCGTGGGGTCGCCCGAATGAGGTGGTAGTGGCGGGGGACTTCAATGCCAAGTCGGCAGTTTGGGGTTCCCCAACCTCAGATATTCGTGGCGACGTCCTCGTCGAGTGGATGGCCGCGCACAACCTGGCGCTCGTGAACCGGGGCTCGACGCAGACGTGCGTCCGAATGCAGGGGGGGGTCCATAGTGGACCTTACCTTTGCCAGCCCCGGGCTTGCGCGCCGCATCGT